TGGGGGTTTGTGCAGGCCCCAGCGAGGCCAAGGGGCTACCCCAGCCTCCAGCCCCGGCCCAGCTCCCACAGCCTCACGGCCTCTCTTCATGGTCATTTAAGGCACTTGGATTTTTCATACGCTGTCCCCAACAGGGGACACTTGGTCTGTCTTTCCTTGAAGGGTCACTGACACCGTCTTCAACTGGCAAACGGAAACGCTGAAGCCGTGGGGGGTTCAGTCGCGGGCCTGGGTCAACACCCAGGAGGTGACAGAGCCAAGGAACTGGAGCTCTGACTCCGAAGCCAAGGCCCTCGAGGTTCTAACAAAGGCAGTGCACGGGCCAAGTGTTAGGTGACAGTTGAAGGCACTGAGGATGGAGCCGGCAGCTGTTCCGAGCCCTGACTTCTCCCAAGAAGCACCTACAGCCGGCCCCTGAAGTCCTTGGCTCCCCATCCTCGAATCCAACCAACTGTGGACTTAAAACATTCTAAAAACAGGGTCTTTATTAAGCATGTTCAGACTTTTTTTTCCTTCTCTTTGTTCCCTAAACCATACAGTGTAGCAAGGATTTACCCAGCTCATTGTACTAAGTGTGCAGAGTCATCGAGAGGTGACCCAGAGCTCTGAAGGAGGTGTGCTGCTCCTATGCCATAGAGCTCTGGGTCTGAAGTGTGGATTTGGGTGTCTGCTGGGTGCTGGACACATTCTCCTGTTGATCCCAAGGAATAAATGTACTTTTAATTGTTTAGCTGTTTCTTATGGTATTACCATTTGTATTTCTAAGGAACACACTGTAACTGCTCGATATTTACTACCCATGTATTATCCATACACCTAGACCTTCTACTGCGGGGAGACGAGGAGTTAGCTCTTACACACAAGGATGCACACACACACACACACATAAACAGACATGCCCCTACCTTCCCTTCCCTTCTCTCACTATCTAATGATGCTATTAAAGCCCGATTTTAAGTAAATACTTGGTATTTGCAATATTGTAACTAATAAAGTTTTATTTAAACCTGAGCCATTAAGGGTATTTGAATTAAATTCCCTTCATGGTGAAACTTTTTATTTGCCTTAGGGTTAGTAATTGGTTCATTCTGTGCTAAATGCTAAAAAGGACTCCATACCCTCTGGAGATGCACACTGAAACGTTTATGCATGAAATTATAGGATGACTTGATTTGCTTCAAAATGGCCCCGAGACACGGAGGCTGAATTCAACCTCCCTCTGGAAACAGCTGGGAGCTAACCACATCCCAGAGCAGCTCCCTCTTCCCAGACAAGGACAGAGGTCCACTGGGTGGGGCATCTGCAGGAGGGAAGGAGAGAGAGTGCCCTGGGCTGCCCTTCCCGCACACAGCTGGGAGCCTGCAGACCAGGGAGAGACCCCCAAACACAGGCCAGCTGCCTGATGGGACACGGTTTGACCTTGAACGTTCTCCAAAAGCCCCTGTGTTAATAGATGATGAGATGATGAGGGCTGTAAGCTCATCGGGGGTCTGATCCGTTGGATGGATGACTCATTTGAAAGGACTAACTGGGTGATAGCTGTAGAAAGGTGAGCTGTGGCTGCAGGAATCAGGTCACTTGGGGTGTGCCCTCTGACTGTAGTTTGCCCCCGACGTCCCCCTCTCTCTCCCCCTCCCTCCTTCTGCTTCCCAGCTGCGGTGATGGGGAGAATGTGCCTCACCTCAGGCCCAGAGCAGTGGAGGCAGCTGACCATGGCCGCCAAGTTGACCTTGCCAGTGTCTCGGTCAGTGACAGAAAGCTGCCTCACACGATGGGTTGCGACCGCGGCATGGCTCAGACCCAGGGGGAGCCATCCCGGCCTGCTGCAGGCCCTGCACCCTCCACCCTTCTGACTGCCCGGCTGGACAGCTCGCAGCACCGAGGAAGACCATCCTCACGCAATGGCTGATTCCAAAGGATAAAACTCGGAACGGCCAGATGGACGAGGGCAGGGGCACGGGGTGGGGCGGGGACATGCAGACCTTCCAAAGTCTCTCGGGGGCCACCGCCTCCAGCAGCCCTATAGCTCCCCGAAGCTCCTTGTTCCAAGTCTCTGTCAAACTCCATCTCCAGGGGGCCCCACTGCCCGGTGCTGTGTCCAGGGGCCTCAGGAGGTGAAGGCCCAGCCTCCTAATCACTTGGTCTTTCTGGCAACAGCCCCACCCAGAAGCTATCTAGGGCCCCGCCCTACATCAGTTAATCAGGTGTGACTGAAAGGAGCCCATTTTGGAAACAGAAGACACTCCTAGCAAGAGACACCCAGGAAATGCCAAGATCTCCAGCAACAGGAACTGGAGACAGAGACTAAATATAAACGGGTGGAAATATGACTCTGCACTAAAGAAGGACTTCATATATTCCAAATATTTCATAAACCTAAGATTTTATCCCATTTTTAACCTCTTTTTAAAAGATAACTGAAGGAGGCTGGGGTTGTGGCTCAGTGGTAGAGCACTTGCCCAGCACGTGTGAGGCCCTGGGTTGGATCCTCAGCACCCCATATAAACAAACAAAATAAAGGTATCATGTCCATCTACAACTAAAAAAATATTTTAAAAAGATAACTGAATACTGAAAGTAAAACAACACCAGCATATGTGGGAGTTATAGCAGAAACGGCAAAAAGAATCACATCAGCTTTCTGCTGCTGTAACAACATACCTGAGGGAGCCCACTTATAAAGCATGAGGGCTTATTCAACCCACGCGGGTGGAGGTTCCAGTCCCTGATCAGCTGGCCCTGTTGCTTTTAGGCCTATGGGGAGGAAGCACCTTATGGTGGGAGCTGTGGTAGAGCAAAACCACTATGTGGCCAGAATTAAGAGTAGAAAGGAAGGGACCAGGTCCACAATCAGCTTCAAGAGCATACCAATGACTGACTTCCCCTAGGCCCCGCCTCTTTAACACCCTGCCTCCCAATGGCACGAAGCTGGGAACAAGACTTTAGTACAAGGTCATTTAGGGACACTTAAGACCCAAACTACAGCAAGAGCAGATGGGGAAATGGACAAAACTGTTCCCACGCTGTCTGAAGGGGTTCAATGCCCCTGATGGTAGGGAGTGAGTTAAAGATCCGCACTGAATACTAAGGCAGACGCCACAGAAAGGGGGTAGAGAAAATGTGCCAATAACGGATTCAATCACGAAGACCTGAACTGATGTGAGAGGAAGCAGGAAGGGAGGAGGCAGGGGCCAGACGAAGTGGAGGGGGCGGAGAGCAGCATGGCAGGCCGGGTGGAAGCCACTCGTCCCCAGAGGATGATGACCACGGCCTCACACCCTGTGAGGAAGCCGAGGAGCAGTGGGTGTCCATCTCTGGGGGTCAGGAGTCCCCACAGGGCCGTTCCCTGGACATGGTGCTGTGAAGTGGGCAGAGGGCAAATGCCATTGGGCTGGGCAGAAATGGTGGCTGCCGCCCACAGGTGGCCATGGGCCAGGCATTTTGCAGCTTGAGCCCCATCCAGTCACACCTCCAGAGGGTGCCTGAGGGTCAGAACACGGGTCACCCGAGCAGCATGGAGCCCACCTGCTCCCCTCCCCTGCAGCTGCCCACCCATCCGAGGACGGAAATCGACTAGAGGTCCAGCTCACGGTTTCCACCTCCGGTCCACCCACCCTCCTCAGGGTCTCCCGAGTGACCTTCCCAAAGTGCAAATTCCATTGTGCTCTCCTGTTTGAAACCTTTCCAAGACCAAGCAATGCCAGCGGCTGTGCCACGCTCCCCGTGCCGGGCCCAGTGCAGGGTCCACCCACTGACTCTGTCAAGCAGGTGGGGGATCTGGGTCCACGGATGTTCCATGGCTCCGTAGTGGCCCCTGAAGGAGGAGCTTCCCACCCCACAGCTGGGAAGGTCCTGGGGGCCACTCGTGGAGGGCGGGCAGGCAGCAGGCAGCTGGAGGTCTTGGACAGGAGACAAAGAAAGGGGCTGCCGCGTGCGGATGGGGAGCTGCCTCCAGGATGTCAGTAGAAAGGGGGCGTCCGTGGCAGACGAGGGCTCCAAAGTCAGGAGGCCCAGGTTCCACCGGGGCAGAGTGACTGAGGGCAAGTCACCCGTGCTCCCGGAGTCCCAGCTTCCTGGCTGTGAGATGGGAATGGCGCTACCCGCCTTGCTGGGTATTAGTGGTGACTGAAGCTGGAAGGTTCTGGCAGCAGCTGTCAAGAAAGAGACATGTCGTCCGTGATCCCTTTCCTCCCCTCGCTGGTGACAGGATCCTGCCTGGTCACCTCCACCCTCAGCAAAGACCCTTTGTGTTGTACTCCTCCTACAGTGACCTGGCCAGCCCTGAGCAGACGTCACTGGCCAGGGCCATGGCTGTGAGAGGACACACCAAGGCACCATGTCCTCCTAAGACCTGATGCAGGGAGCCCTGCGGGTGTCCCCTGACCGAGGCCCAGGGGAAGGGCTGCGTTTGGGTCCGAAGAGCACGTTGAGCAGCTTATTAGCTGATTCTGCTTCAAGATTTAAAAATCACTTCCCTCTGGTTTCTGAATCTCTTCACCTTGTACAACTGGAAAGACCACTGAGATGTGAACAGGCGATGGCATTCCCCAGGGGCCGGCGTGTTTTCTGGCAGCTCAAGGGACAGGGCAAAGCCCTCTGCTGGACATCACGATGGGGAATCAGGAACAGAATCAGGAACAAGGGCCCCACGTAAGGCAAGTGGAGAGCTCTGTGTAAAATATATTTATTTTCAAAAGTTCCCTTTATAAAACCAGAATATGTAGCAAACACAAAATAGGAGAACAGCGAGGCCCGTCCTCACACAGCCGGGCACAGAGGTGCGAGCTGGGGCAGAGTGTCCTCCAGGTCCCTGGTGACTCGGGACCAAAAGAAAGGAGTGTCCACATCCTCATGGTGCGGAAGAGAGCAGGCCAAATGGAAACCCATGAGACCACGCTGAATCGTCACTGAGGCCAGGGTGTGCAGGGGACCCGTGTCTTCTGCGTGGGAATGGATACGCTGCACGCTAAGCATTAGAGAGCAGCACACATGGGCCTCCCTTAGTCCAAGCCCAGGGCCCTGCTGGCCTTCTTGGCGTTCAGGAAGTTCTTCTTCCTCCTGGGAGGGATGTGCAGAGAGATGTCCGGGTCCTTGGGGTTTCTGAATATGAAGAGCTTTTCGCCTGTGTTTAACACGTCGAGGGCTTCAGCACCTAGGATGGGGACAGGGGCCGGTTCGCCAATGGTCTCCAAGGACAGGTGCGGCCAGCCTTCTCCGCAGAACGCCATCCTCTCCCTGATGGGGACATACGTCTTCTTTAATATGCTAAGGAGAGAACAGAAGGTTGAGCTGACATGTGGGACTCACTCTGACCTTCCTGAGAGTTCTGAGTTCTCCAGGAGAATCCCAGCCACGTGCCATTTGAAGACCCTTCCCACCTTTGGGCACCAGAGTGCCCCTGAAGTCAGTGGAGGCCTGTGGCAGCACTCCAGCCGTACTGGCCTGTGACTCAAGTTCTCAGAAGACTTGTGGGCTCGTTGTCATGACATTGTCAGCTTGGGCTCAGCCGGGCAGGGAGTTCACACCATGAAGACTGGCAGGGCCCCGGAAGGGCCCCCCCCCCCCACCCCCCCACCCCCGGCCGACTCTCAGACATTTACAAGGAGACCCTGGGCCTCACTGTAAACCAGCTGAGGAAACTGGGTACTAAGCAAAAGTTCCAGGCAGGGCAGACGTCAGCAGAGGGTAGCACACTTAGGGAGGGTCCTGGGACAGGACTGCAGCAATCTGCCCGAGCCATCCCTGAATCCCCGGCTGCTCTTGAGAAGGCCGTGGCTACTGCTGAGAGCCCGTGGGGCCTGAGAACCACTGGTGCTCTCTGCCCAAGCAGTGCAGGACAAGGCCACAACCTGGGTCTGCAGGGGACGTCACTGGCCAGTGGGGTGCTGGACCATCTGAAGGGTTGGGACAGATTCAGTTCCACCTCTGTCCCCTGAGCGAGGACTCCCAGGTGGCTCTGGCTCATATCCTACGTCCCTTCTCACCGTAGATCCTGGTGCCTCTGGGCGGGGCGAAGGCTACCACAGTGCGCCAGGTGCTGTGACCATCGCCCCTCATGTTACCTGCTGCACACCGGTCAGTGCAGCCCAGAAGCACTCCCAGGGGAACACGCTAGTCACACAGCTTCAATCTGGACTCAGAGTGGCTTCTCCCGACCAACCTCCTGGCCTAAGTTCTTTGGGACGACTTTCTGAGACCCCCATCACAGACAGCCCCAAGCTGTTACCATGGACCATCAGTGACGGGCTCAGCACCTCCACCTGAGCTCTGGAACGATGGAGGCAGGGGGCTCGGCAGACCCTCCCCCTGGACAGTCACTGCTCCCCGAGCACAGGGCGCCTGCCACTTTTTAAGCCCTGATGAGCTCGTCTGATGTGACTTCCCTAAATCCCTCGTAGATGGAATCCAGGAGACACTTGGTCAACAGGTGGTCACATCTAACCCACTGTGCCCCTCCCGTCCCTCTGATCTCCAGGTGTGCAAAAGTCACAGGCCAGAGATGCAGGCCTTGGGCACACAGAGCATGCACAGGCCTGGAGCATTAGGCAAACGCAGGGACAGTTACGGTCCACGTCCCATGGCCACCAGGTACTGGGTCTTGGGGTCCCTGGACTTCAGGTCTATCATCCTCATTTTCTGGAAGGTTCAATGCAATGAGAAGTGAAAGGGCTTTGGGAATAATAATGTCTGAACAGCTACAAGGAATTATTCCTTTTCTAATTATAGCCCTTAAAATAGCTATTAACTAAAATAAATACAGTAATTAAAATGCTAATAATGTTATAACATTCTCCTCCTGATAGCTGCAGCTTATCTTCAGCTTTTAAACTAAGCCCAGGGACTAAAGATGTGTGGCCTTCAGGGAGGACCCTGCCCCGTCACGGGGCATCTCCCCACGCTCTCAGGCAGCGTGGACGGCCCTCCCCGCACCTGTGCCGGCGCCTACCTCGCCTTCCTCTGTTGGGCCCAGCGCACCTTCTCCAGGCCCCTGGCCATCAGATCACCTCGCAGCTTCCTCTCCAGGGCTTGCCACCAGGCCTGGTGTTTCCTAACAGCAGAGAGAGGCTCAGGTTAAAAATAACAGCCTTCAATTCCCCCCGTGTGACCTCGGCTGGCCTCCGTCCCCCCCGTGTGACTTCCGCTGACCTCCATCCCCCCCGTGTGACCTCCGCTGATACCAGGACCCCTGGTCTCCACGCCTCCTTTCCCTTGCTCAGGACACACCCATCAAGCAGGCTCTTGGCCTGGTCAAGGAGGAATCTCTACCCTCGAAGGGCTCCCAGTTCGGGGGATCACAGAGACAGGTGACATCAGTCGAAGAAGGCCATACAGAGCTGGGGACATTTGAGCTCAGGGCGTTCATGAAGGGCTGTGTGGCTTGTGGGGCCCGCCTTGGCCGGGGAGGCATGGCGGGGCGGGTGGGGTTCCGTCTCTTGGTCCTCCTGCCTGAGACAGTGGACACACCCGGAGCCACCAGCGTGTCCTGAACATGCGCGTGCAACATGGAGAAGCACCGTGGGAGCCAGGAGGGTGGTGGCAGGGCGTCCTCAGGCCATGGGCGTGTGTGACTCCAGACCAAAGGCGAGGGGCCTTGTCACACTGCCAGGGAGACTGAGAGGAGAGCTCGGTGGGCCTGGGCCCCAGTCGGCAGAGGACGGCACAGGCCGGAGAGTCCAGCCCAGGGAGCACTTTCCTCTGCGCCGTGGCTCCCACCCGCCCACCTGGAGGTGGGTGCAGCTCGTCCCTCCCCACAGTGGGCAGGGGGCTCTCCTTCCCAGGAGAGGTGTCTCTGACGACAGCACCCCACAGCAGCTGCCCGCGGTGCTTCCTGGGCCTGTCCCTCCGGGGCTGGACACAGCTCTCCCCACACCCCACAGGTCCCTCTGTCACCGGCTCCCGTGCAGCCAGTCGGCTTCCGTGGCTTGAAAGCCAAGGCCTCAGGGAGGGGCTGCCAGGCCCCGGGCGGGGGACCAGGAAGAGGGCCTGCCCGCCCTCAGGGACTCCGGGTGGCCCGGGCCGGGAGAATCCCCTAGTCCCCTCGGCTAGGAGGCTGGACAAAGTGCAGGCACTTGCCACCCGAGTCCTCCTGCTGTCCCAGCCCCGCAGGCCCTCTGGACTTGCTGGACGGCTCTTCCTCACGGCTGGCCTCACGCCCTCCCTTCCCCTCACCCAGCTCTGCCCACGTGTCCTCAGCAGTGCTCGCGACCTCCGGAGTCAGACCCCTCCTCAGCTCTGACCAAACAGCCCCATGTCAGGAAAGCAGTGTCCACGTGTGTGCCCACCACCGCCATTCCAGCGGCCCGCCAGCCCCCGCCGTCCAGCCACAGCCTCCTGTGGGTCCTCGATGAGGCGGGCTCTGGCAGCTGGGGCCCCACCCTTGCAACCTAGTCCACGTTGCCCTTCTCAAGTGACACTGCCCGGCTTCCTGCCTTCCCTCCATGGACCCAATTCATACCTGGACTCGGAACCTAAAGGAAAATATCTGCAGGGTTGTAACAGCTGAGGAAAAGTGGCCCCAGTGACAGATGGGGACAGCCACCTACCTAGGCTACGCCTGTCTGGAGTATTAGGCCGCCATTCAAAACAATGTCTGAGAAGATGTGTCGAGAACAGTGACAGCACGACTTAAAGTAGCAGGAAACGCAGCTCAGACACTGGGACAGGAATCGCCCAGGAACATGGAGAGCTGCGCCCGCTCTCAGGCCTGTGGGCACAGCGTCAGCACCGCGGGCGCGCGACACTCAATACGCAGGTGTGGGCCAGCAGGGCAGCTCCACTCCACAGTCTCGCCTGGGGCGGGGCTGGAGCCACGCGTTCAGTGGAAACAGCACTTGGAGCTTTGAGTCGGGGTCTTTCCCCAGGCGGCCCCTCTGTGGCCCAGGCTTTCTTGGATGATGGGCAGCAGCAGCTCCCAGTCACCACAGGGCCACGAGGGCCATCCCCACTGTCCCAGGCTGTGCTGCAGTGGGGTGTTCCACCCGAGGGGCGTCAAACACGCTTCCCACCCACACATTTTCCACCAAGGATGGGTTTATGGGGACGAGAGTCACGACCTCATGGTAAGCCGGGAGGTGTGCACACAGGTGTGCACATGCACACCTCAACCACACTCAACACGCGCACATGCACTCAGAAAGCCTGTGGAGGGAGAAATGTGACCAGCGGACGGTGAGCCTGATGGACATTTTCTCCAGGTGGTAGGTCTGATCCCCTGCTCCAGTCCCCTTACAGGTCACCCTCTCTCTGGTTTCCAGAGGCGGTCACCACAGGGCACTCACCTCCTCCTGCCAGGGTCGGCCTGCTCCCTGCCCTCGTGGTCTGCTGCACGGTCCGAGTGCTTCTCACTGACCGAATCCAGCAGGGCCAGCAGCTGGGGCTGGGAGCCCGCGGGCAGCAGCACACTCAGGAGGCGGCACAGCGTGGCCCCGGGCACCATCGCCATCTTGCAGAGGTACGACGCCAGCCTCAACTCCTAGGGCAGGCAGGGGAAGGGGAGCTCAGCCCGCGCCACCTCTAGACCTGACATGCGTCAATTTTAAATTTATTGCATTCTTAGGGCTTTTTGTCTAAGGGGAATAAATATTTTAGTAGTTAGTCTGGAAAACAGCTTCTAAATTCACAGAGCTGTCAGAAAAACCTATCTGGTGAGCACCTGTGGCACCGCGGCATTCCTGAGGCTGCGTCCCTCCCTCGTGACTGTTCTCGGCTCTGTCAGGCACTGCCCGAATCACATGGCAAAGGCCCTGGCCTGCAGCAGGGACACTGCTCACCTTTCTCCTCCTTGTTCCACTTCTGTGAGGCCACACGGCCCTGAGGACCATTCAGGCTCCAGAAACAACTGAAGTGTCCCTAAACCAGGGGAGTGTCCCAGGGACACTGTGCTGCGTCCTTACCACAGAACACCGTTCTGCAATAAGTAAAAGAGCTGGAAGGGCCTAAAGTCTAAGGCTGCTTGACTCCAGGCACACAGGTCTGCGGCCTGGACAAAACTCAGAGCTGGGGCAGACCCTGGGTTGCCAGGGTGGGCAGTGGGGGGCAGCACGAGGAGGGCTCTGTGGGGAGGACAGTCCTGCATCCTGACGGGGTGGACCTGCTGTGCTCAAGTGACAGAGAACGGTGCATGTGCTGACACCGATGTCAGCTCCTGGCTGTGACATGCTCTGGGCAACAGCAGGGGGAAACACGAAGCCCGGTGGACGCTGGCATGCCCCACACTGGCTCCGCAACCTCCTGTGCATCTGCAGGATTTCAGAACGAAATCTTTGTGGAGAAACCAGCACAGGTCTGGTACTCCAGAAAGCTCCCTGGCACCCAGCGGCACTGAGCAGAACAGAGAGGCCTTGGGCTGATTCTTGTCTTTGCCTCCGCCTCCTCATCTGTAAAATGCGGGTTAGGATGACACTGTGGCACAGGGTTCGGGGAGGACAAATGGAGCTAGAGCTTGTCCCACTGTCCTGTATCACACAGGCACAGGTAACAGCACTTCTGGTCAGGGCAGGCACACCTGACCACCTGGCCAGTCAGACCTCCCCTGGGACTTCAGCGAGGCCTAAGACAGACAGCAAAGCTGGGGTGGGGAGGGCATCGAAGGGCCAGGAGCCAGGACTGCCAGCCACATGTCCCTCTGGGAGGCGGTCATTCATGTGCACTAGGAAGCAGGAGAGCCCTGCAGAGGCAGAAGGACACGGGGGAGTCCATTTGGTGTTTGTACCCCTCGGGCTCAGCCCGGCTTTCCTGGGGGGTGGTCAGGGGATCCAGACGTTTCCTTTTATATAAAACAGCATCAGGGCTGGGGCTGGGGCTGGGGCTCAAAGGTAGAGCAGTCGCCCACCATGCATGAGGCACTGGGTTTGATCCTCAGCACCACATAAAAATAAATAAAGATATGTGTCCACCTACAACTAAAAAATAAATATTTAAAAATAAAATGAAATAAAACAGCATCACATTTGCAGATACCCTGCACACAGCCTCTCGTACCTTCCTATCATCACTTGTGCTACCTAAGACGCAGGACACGATGGTGACCTACCGGGCACAGCACTGGCTGGGGAATGGTGGGCAGGAGAGGCCATCAGTGTTTGGTAGAGACACAGCCCTGCCCGACCAGCTGCACAGCACCTGTCCACAGCAATGCAACTTATTTTGGATCCACAGTTGGCTGAATGAGGGGACATGGAACCTGCCTGAGTGTCCCCTGCCTGCCACCTGTGCTGGGCCCACTCATGAACTGCTCTGAATTTCCCAGGCCAGCTTCCTCAGCCCATTCAATGGCTGAGGACAGGCAGCTCTGAGGAAGGGGAAGAGGTGTGTGCAGGGGACAGAGGCAGGGACAGAGGCAGTCTGGGGCAGTGTCTCCTCACCTGGCCGCACAGGGTCACGAAGGTGTCCGTCTCCATGTTCTCCAGCAGATCCTCCAGCACAGCGCTGTCCTGCTGCTCTTGTCTCCAACTAGAGGGAAGACAGAGCCCAGTGAGGCCACTGTGTTAGGAAGGGACACCATGAGGCCATCCAGGCTCCAAATAAGGAAGAGGGATCAAAGCCACACCGCCGTGTGAAAAAGAAGTATATGGACATATATATGTACACACACACACACACACACACATACATGCACGTGCACACAGATATACAAAGAGATGGTGGGGAGGCCTGTGCCTCTTGTTGCCTAGGCCTCTTCCAAGGAGGGTGGCCAGGAGAGGGCGGCTCGAGTGAGGTTCCGTGGGCCCCTGAAGGAGACAACTGACTCTGACAGAGGCTGGGCAGCGGTCCTCAAGGCCTGCACCAAGAAGACCAAGACCTGGTCCATGTGCCCTGTGCTGAACAGAACCAGAGCCACTGTCCAGGGAGGGCCTGGCCCTGACCACAGGACCAGCTGGCTTCCCTTCGCAGGAGCCTCCTGTCCTCCACGGGAGCAGCTCTGCTGTCCACGTGGCCTGCCCACAGTCCCGCTGGTGGCCACACCCACTGCGTCCTCAGGTGCAGCTCAAAGCCTCCAGGGAGCGCGTGAGTGCTGCACACCCCAACGCCCAGCCCACCTACCCACGCCTCCGAGAAGCTCCTCGGCACAAGCTCAGCCCTTCACGGTCACCTCAGAGCCCCAAGCCGTGCTCCGTTCACACAGCATCTCACCACCCGGAAATCATGCCCATCAGACTCCAGTCTGTTTCCTTCTGACTAACTCGTGTCTGTTTTCAGGACCCGTCACACTGCCCAGTCCAGATGGCCTCACGTTCCCTCCACACCAACGCCAGGTTCACAGTGGAAAACGCCAGAGCTATGAACCTTGTTTTTCTAAGAGTTCCTGATGCCACAGGCCAAGCTAACTGTCCAGTGTTCATTGAAGAATAACACAAAGAACAGAGAAAGAAGGCGGGAGCTCCACTCTGCAGTCTTGATAAAGCGCCATGTTTACAGGGAGGTCCGAATGAGGCCTGAGTTCTGCTGATGTCGGCCCACGGCTCGGTCCTGCACTAAGATGACGGAGAAGCCGGTGAAGAGGAACAAGACCTCTCTCTATTATTTTTGCAATTTCTTGTAAGTCTGCGATCATTTTAAAAAGTCTAAAATATTGGTAAACCTCAGTGATAGGAAAATAAGGTATCTTAGAAGGACATCAGGGAACAAGGAAGCCGATTCCCGCCAAGCTGGGTGGCTCGTGCCACGTGCTGGCTGGCACCGTAGGCGGGAGGGTGAGAGGCAGGTTCCCCAGGCCTGCAGGGGACGTCACTCCCGGGACCGTGGGCCACGGGCCCTACCTTTGCTGGTGGAGATCCAGTAACTTCTGGCCCTTGCCCAGGGCCTGCTGCAGGACGGCGGAGATGGGCCTGTCAGAGTCCTCCTCCCCAGGCTCGCTCAGGAGCCCGGGCCCCCCAGCCACCCAGTGCTGCCAGCTGGCCAGGGCCTGCTGCTGCTGGGCTGCCTCCTGCTGGGCCACTTGGTCCTCCAGCCTCCTGTCCAGGTCCTGCAGCTCCTGCACACAGAGGGGACAGGTGGTGAGTCCCACTACAAATGTGAATGGAGCAAGGACAAAGCCTGGGCTCCCGGCACGCGCTGGAAGCCTGCCGGGCCCATCTTGCCTGGCTCCCCCGGTAGAGTAACCAGATGTCGGATGTGCCCGCCTCCTCTGTCACAGCTCCACCCAGCAGGTGGTGCTCCTTCCTCTACAGGGACTTCCCGACTGCCGACCGACCATACCTCCTGGGTGGCCGGCTCCCCAGTCCCTGGGGGACAGGGACATCCCTCCTCACATCTCACTGACACCCTTCACACGCACTTTTTTGAAGCCACCTGCATCACCGTCATGCACCCTTTGGCTACAGCTTGGGCTCCCTGGGGGAGTAGGTGCACGGTGCCGGGCAGCTGCCACCTGTCCCGGGGTCACCGCAGAGTACCTGCCAGCATCTGCCACTGAAGAAGTCACGGGACGCAGCACCACGGTCCCTATCAACAGTGCCCACAGCGCAGAGGCACACCAAAGGGCTGCTGGTCCCTGGTGGCACCAACTTAGGAGGCTCCGTTACGACTTCTGCCTTCGCTGTGGTGCGCAGGCAGAGCACACGCAGGGAAGACGGACGCTAACTCTGGAATTTGGATGGTGTCCCAGGCGGGTGACCCGCAGTACAATGTTTTCTTGCCATAGTGGACCGTGGTGGCAGCACAGTCCCCAGCCAGACCCAGGTGCTGAGGTGGACAGCAGCACTCCAGCGTGTGCTGAGCTGCCGCACTGGCCAGGGCCACAAGTGAACTTGTGTCTTATTCTCAGTTTATCGTGAACTAACCCTGGAGGTCGGGGGGCATCTGTGGGAAGGTCTCTGTCCTTCAGCGACTCTAGACCACACACCCCCCCTTCTCTGAGTTTATGGAGAAGGAAATCGGGGCAGAGTGGCGGTCATGTTCCAGGTGACACAGTCACTGAGAGGCAGAGTCGGGATCTGAGCCCAGGCCAGCGAACTCCGGGCTTGTGCTCTCACTGGGCTACGCTGCCTGACACCGTCGGGGGGCACCTGCCTTCCCAAGTCACCAGAAAATCTCAGCAGAGGAGTCTGCCAAGGTGGGCCCGGGTAGGTAGGAGGCCCCCAGGCCATGGAGGTGCAGGCAGGGAAAGCCGAGGTGGAGGTCAGTGGGGCTCATCCTGAGAGGTCCTGGTGGGCCTCACGGGGGACGGTGGCCCCTGATCCTCCTAAATATGCACAAAGTACTCTGATTTCTGCGGAGGGAACAAAGTTTGTATCAAATTCTCAAAAGAGTCCACAGTCCCCAAGGCTCAGAGATACAACCCGAGAACCAAGACAGTGGGACAAGTGGCCGAGAGGAGCCCCGAGAGACTGCGTGGAGAGACTGGCAGCCTGGCCACGCACTCCAGCCTCAATCCAGGGCCTGGGAAGCCTCGAGAGCTGCGGAGCGGCACGTCCACCCACTGGGGTCTGCCATCCTGACCGCTGACCACTGCAGCACCCTGAGGGGAGAAGAGGTAGCCCTAAGTGTTCTGTCGAGCTGTGAGCCTGGCCAGACCTCTGCTGGGAACAGTGTGGGATGGAAGACTCCAACTTGAGCCTGTTGGGGTCACCAGAGAAGTGGTGGAGCACAGAGGCCATCTCTTCTAGAGGAGCTTGGAAATCCCTGGTCAGGAATGGAAGGCAGGTGGACATGGCCTGCAGCTCAGCGTTCTCTGGTGGGACTTTCTCCAGAGCTTCAGGCCTGTGCCCCAAGCCTGCTCCCCTCCGCACCTGCCTGCTGGGTTCCAAGCTCCGTCTGGGCCTGCCTTCTTTAGAGCTTGCTCTGCTACTAGACTTTAAATACAAGGACCACGAATCCCGGGCTGTGGTGACTTGTCTTTCTCCCCAGCAGTGAGAACAGGGCCCAGCTCGTGGAAAAAGTTAATAATAATAACAACAATAATAATAATAATGGCGGTTAAAATTTCCTGAATGTCTACACTGGGCCAGAGCATTTACACAACTTATTTAATCTTCACAAAATGACACAAAATCAGAATTTACCATTATCCCTTTTTATAGATAAGGTGACTGAGGCACAGAGAGGGTAAGTGAAACTCCTGAAGTCACAGTGTTGGGCAAAAACACAGCTGGAGAGAACTGAGGTTTCTCTGGTCTCTGGTCCCATCTCTCAGTTCAGCGGCCTCCGAGAGCACCACCAGGTACCTGCCCGATGCATGAACAGAGCGACAGCTGGTGACACCGATGGGTGGTGGAAGGAGGGATGATAGGTAGACAGGTGACAGAAAGACGGATGGACAATAGACTAGAGGATAGAAAGATGGTAGAAATAGATTAGGCAGAGAATGGATAGACAGACAGACAGACCGACGGATGGATGGGTGGACAGAGAATAGAGTTCCTTTTTGCTGGGTATTTGTTGGGATTCAGAGTGAGTGGGACATGTCTCTAGATCCTGAAGACTCAGTGTGGGGAGGGGGCAGCTCGTATGCAGAGACAGAGACAGAACACCATCCTCGGTGATCACAGATTCAGATGGGGCTCTGGGAGCACAGAGCTGGGACAGATGGTGCCACCAGAGGGCATCCTGGGTGGCTTGATGGAGGCGATCCCGGGGCTTGTCTTAGAATGTAGACAGGAGTTTGCAAGGAGGTGTGGCAGAAGTCTTCTAGGTAGAGGTCCCTCTAAGGAACAGATGCTTGAATGTATCTCAGGGCTCAGAGCAGCAGGAAGGTCTAGGGCCTGAAGCCCAGGGTCTGAGGGAGGAATGGTAGGGAGGTGAGGATTTTTTTGTTTTTGTACCAGGGATTGAACTCAGGGGCACTTAACCACTGAGCCACATCCCAAGCCTCTTTGGGTATTTCATTTAGAGACAGGGTCTCCTTGAGCTGCTTAGGGCCTCGATAACTTGCTGAACTGGCTTTGAACTTGCATCCTCCTGCCTCAGCCTCCCAAGCCATTGGGATTATTAGGCGTGGGCCACTGCTCCCAGCTAGGAGGTGGAATGTGGACCTGGGGGTGGGGCTGTGCGTGATCCTTTTATTTTTCATAAACATCCCTTTGGCCGCAGTGTGGAGGGGAGGCTGGAATAGGGAGGGGGCCAGGGGCATGATCTTAGGACAGGAGGCCTGCTTTGCTGCTGTGGGCCTTGGTGAAATGACCGTCCCTCCCTAAGCTCAGCCTCTTCCCCAGAAGAATGGGACTAGAAATGCCACCGTGGAGGGAAGGAAGGGGCAGAAGCACAGTCAGTGCCTGGGCCTCACGCAGAGCTTGGCGGGTGCAGCCAATAGTGACGCTCTCTGCCTTTGAAGCCCGGGTGGCTGGGAGCCGCGAAGCCAGGCCACAGAAGACCGAGTGCAAGAACTCAGGCAGAATCATCAGAGGGTGAGTCCTGGCACAGGAGAACCAGGCAGAGGGAGGAGGAGGGAGGAGGGAAGGGAGGTGCCCATGGGCCTGGAGGTGCGTGCTCAGCAGTTCAAACCAAATGCACATACAGTGCGTACAGTTAGTCTGGGGTCACAGATCTGCTCCCTGGAAGTCCTTCCTGTTTAAATCTGCCCATCACCACCATTCTGCCCTGATCCAATTACACCTTGCATATGTTCCAATATCAAAAGGAGTTTGAACCCTTCCCTCATCAATGAGGTGCACTCAACGTCACCCTCACAGATGTCCTTTTTCCCACAGCATTTCATTGCATACTTTTTTAATCCTCCTGAGTGTTTAAGAGCTTAAAAGCCCATTTCCAACAGGAGAGCGGTTGATGCAGATGATCAAATGCAGAATGGAGTCCAACATCTGGAGTAAGATGGCCGTCTCCTGCCAACTGCAGACTGAATGAAACAGCGGTCACCCATCACCTTGGCCTTGAGGACACCACATCTTCTCCACTCAGGACCCACGGCCTCTTCCCAACAGACCAGAGGTAGGAAGCTCTGTCCTACTCAAAGTCTCAAGATGTACAGGGTGTTGTGGTCTCAGTTACCAGTGGACACAGGTGATCTCGGCACCACGAGGGTCTTCCAGGCCGCACTGAGGTGTTCCCCGTGCAGGTGGAGGCAGCACGTAACTGTGAACTGAGAGCCAGGGGTCCTAGTGTCTCGCTCTGCCCCCGACTCCCTGACCTTGGACTGTCCTTCCCTGGAAAGGCTTCATTCCCTCCATCTGGAATCCAGGACAGGGCTCCCTCCGTGCCAACCACTCCGAGTGCATCCCGTGCTGTGTGTTTGGGTAAGTGCTGTGCCAGGCCTCCTCCCGTTACCAGGAGTCCACCTCGAGTGGGTGTATATGCGGAAATGAGCGTCTGGGTTGTTTCCCCCGTTAGCCGTTAGGTGGATTTTCAAAATGGTGTTCTAGTTTCTCCTATGAGACCAACTGTGTACTCCTGGGAGAAACTCAACCTGGCCACGATGTATTGATTGACTTCTTCTCATAGATGGATGGGTCATGGTCACATCTGGTGTCTATGATCACAACTGCCATTGTTCCTTCTTAGACTGCTCGTGTCTGGTTTCGGTATCAAGGTTCGCTGAGCATCATAAAATGAGCTGAGGAATTCCATCCTCCTAATCTCAGGAATAATGTGCACCCGAGACCAGCAGAAGACCTTAAGGTTTGGTGGAGCCCGCCTACAGAACTGTCTGGGTTGGGTGTTTTCTGTGAACAGGGAGGTGCTTAACCTATGCACCAGTTTCTTTCATGGCATTAGGAATGTACATGTTTTTTCCATCTTGAGTCAATCTTTCAGACTTTTCTAGAAATTTTCTCCTTTCAGTTCAGTTTTCAGATTCTTCAACATAAAGCTGTGCACGGTATTCTCCTATTTTTAAAAACTGCTGCATCTACAGTTGCTTTCTAAACTCTTGGTATTATTTACTTGTCCCTCACCTCTTTTTGTCATGGCAAGTCTTGCCAGACATTTGTATATTTTATAAGTTTTTTTCCCCCAAAAAATTCAACTTTCCACTTCCCTGTGGCAGTTCTGTTTTTATTTTTATTTACGCTATGTTCCTTCCTCTGCTTTCCACAGGCCAATTACCCCAGTTCCCCCACCCCAGCTTCCTACATGGTCATCTGTGGGCCTTTCTTTCCTAATGTAGCTTAGGGTATAAAGTTCCCTCCAAAACCTGCTTTAGCTGAATTCCACATTGTGGTATGTCATAGGTACATTATTTTTCTGCTCTATGTTTTTAAAAATATTTTCCATTATTTCTTTGACCTAGGAATTATTCAGAGGTATGTTCTGAAGTCACAAATTATGGACTCTTTAGCAATTATCTTTTTTAACTGTTTTGAGGTTAATTGCCCTTTGTTGAAAGGTAGCCAGAGTGACACATGGTGATTATTTGTCACTGCTCCAGCGTGTGCTAAGGACACATTCTGGTTACCTGTTTGCTGTGAACCCTGGGTGCACTCAGGGTGGCTTCTCAGATGCTCTTCTGTGTGCCCTCTGGGCTCCATCTGATCACCAATCATACTGAAGCGTGTGTGCCGAGATTCTCACCTTAACCTGACTCCTCCCTATTCTTTCACTTTTCCTTCTTCTTATTTTCTTTTATTAAGTTCACACAAGTCTGGCTCCAGGTGACCAACGTTTCAACATCATTTTCGTATGACCTTTATTTTTTCAGTAAACTCACAGATCATGACATTCCGCTGATGCTTTGGGTCCCCAATGTCTTTGAAGGCCCTGGCCTGCTCACACAGGTCATCTCCCCTGGCTTCTCACTGCCCAGTGACTTCCTGCCCACGGAGAGCTCACCTCTGGCTGCACTCAGTCTTTAGAAATCCCGATGTGTCCTCTGCAGACACCTTGCTCTGCAGAGAACGAGTCTCTGCACCAGGACTAGAGACCAGCCTGGAGTCCTGCTGGCTCCTTTGTCACCTGGGGTGTCCTGGCTGAAGGGCTGCACGCATCTGGTCCCTTCTCGTCTCTGCTCTGCTGAGGCCTTTCCTTAAAACTCATAGGGCAGCTCCCCACCGCGCATGCAGCAGGCGGGAAGGCAGGGGCTCTGGCCCCCCAGCCTGTCTGGGTGTCCTGCCCCATGGACACATCCCACAGCCTCGTCTCCTGCCCGGGGCTCATCCCAACCCGGGTTCCGGGTGTCGGTGGTGTCAGCGCAGCGCTGACACCCGATCTGCTCTCAAGGCTCCCTGCAGCTCTGACGGGGACACCCGCAGCCAGTCCTGAAGGACGTTCTCCTGTGCTTGAGCTTTACGGGGGCAGCACTGGAAGCTCAGTGCTGGAGCACCCAGAGACCCTACGGGAGCTCTGTCCTTAAGACCGCTGTCACCACGCAGCGTTCACCATGTGGCCAGAAAACAGTCTTGGACTCTGTGATTTGCCACCTTTTAAAGAATTTATGGGACCCCCATGTTGATGAACTCAGCTGGGACAGTCCATCCACCAAGGTGACAGTGCACCAACTCAGGGAGAGACTCTGGCTCCTGTCACTCATCAGCCACGCGGTCTTCACGAAGGCCGTGACCTGCCACCTGCCCACATCTCTCTTTCCCTGAGGAGTGAGCGTGCTGACAACACCCACTTCACAGCAGGGCCCGATGATCAACAATATAACCCACAACAGGGCGCGGAACGGCACTCAGTGCTGATCACACTTAAATGGCAGTCTTCAGAAACAGAATAGAGCTGTCGATGCTTAACTGGCCGCTGGTCCATTCACGACACTCGAGCCCCTGCCTGCCCCCACGAGCTACTCCACACCTGGGAGGCCTCCCCCTGCATGTAATTATCACAGTAATAGGTGACACATAAAATTCTAAAGTCCAGGCACAAAGGACCTCAAATTCGTCCTCAAAACAGTTATTACCATAGCTCTCATGTTATGGATCCTCTTCTTCACCCTGAAAGAGTGCAGCCTGCAGGCTTAATGACAATTTAGAATTGCAAAGATAAACATTCCAATATACGGTGACATTCAGGATGCTCTTAATTGAAATATGCACTTTTTCCCCCCATACTGCATCTTCATTCAAAACATGCACTTCTGTTGTTTGAATTAAACACTAATGTCATTAAACTGTGGCCCCCGCCATTGACCAGAAGATTCACCAGTTCCCCACGGTCTCTCCCCAGAGGCAATGCCCTGGAGCTGCCTGGGCTGAGAGTTGCAGGCTGCTGACCTACAATGCACCCCACTTGGTCCTCAGCCCACCCAGGGCATAGACCGGCCGGGCGCTCATGGCCCATCTGCAGCTGGAGGAAACGGTGGCTTTAGAAGGTGCCGGTGCCTCCCGACCCCTCCTGCACTCACCGGGCTGTGGGACTGCAGGATCTGGCCGCAAGCCGCCTGGCTCAGTGTCTCCGACTCCCTCAGCTCCTCCAGCAGCAGACCTTGGATGCTGAGCAGGGCGGTGAAGGCCGACAGGGTCTCGGTGGCCCGCGCCGCCTTCTGGAACTGCACAGCAACCAGCGACTCCGCGAAGCGTCCCTCCTGGGCCTCCAGCCGCTGCACCCTCTCCCGCAGCAGCTCCCCTCGCACCTGGGGGACCAGCAGCACCAGAGGGCAGTGAGCCGAGGGACGGGAAGGAGAGCCAGCAACCTCACAGACACCAGGGCCGTCCCACAGAAGCACGGGAACCTACAGGAGCCACCGGGAAGTGTCCAGCTTCTGAGGACCACGCCTGTCCTTCATGCTGTACTTACCACCCTCGAGGGTGAGCGGGGCATGTTGCCGTCGGCTCAGACCCTCCGTTCACTCTCCCTGCGCAGCTCCCAGGCCCCTCCACCCTGTGCAGAGCCTGGCACCTGCCTGACTGAAGTGCCCGCCACGCTCTCTTCCTTTGGTCTCCAGCTCCCGACCGGCCCCTAGGGCATCCTCACTTCTGGGAGCAAGCGCCTGTCCTGCTCTTCTCTGCTCATCCCTCCAGCTCCTCCTCCCCTTGGGGACACTTGCTAGAGCGCAGGGCCAGCTGCACCCGGAGCTCTGTACGTGTCCAGCCAGCAGACCCGACCATGGCCACTCGGCTACAGTCCCTCAGCGTCCACCTGTCTTCTCTTCTGTCAAGGCTACAGGTGTGACATCAGTGCCTCTCACCTCACCCGAGCCCTAAAAGGCAGGCTGCGCTCTGTGCACCCCACTCTCTGCAGAAGGAGCAGAAGTGTGACCCGGAAAAAAAGCTGCACAGGCACCGTGGCTCCTCAAAGTCACCATGACCCAAAGAAAGGCGCACGCCCGCGTCCACCAGGGGGGGACATCCGGACAAGGAAAACGCGGTCCACTCGGCCTACCCAGGAAGGGAATCCCGACCCTGCTGCAGAAGAGACAGACCTCGAGGACACCAGGCTGTGTGACGTGAGCCAGTCCCAAAGGACAAGTGCTGCATGACCCCCCATCTGAAGTCCCTGGGAAGTCAGATGCATAAAGGCACTGGGGACGGGGCAGGAGGAACGGTGGACACTGTATGATGCATATGCAAGACGGAAAGTTCCGGAGTGCGATGGTGATGACACTCATGTGCGAGGGTACCTGGTGCCTGCTGAGGATTGAGCCTGGAGTGTCCCCAAAGGCTCCTGTGTTGCAAGTTGGGTCCCCAAGGCAGCAGGGATCCGAGGTGGGGCTTTGGGAAGGTGATGGGATCCTGAGGGCTCTGCCCTCGTCAGTGGGTGGACCCATTGATGCATCACCTGAATGAGTGGACTGTTGGAGGTGGAGGAAATGCAGGAGGCAGGACCTCACCGCAGGAAGAGAGTCCTTCAGGAAATGTCCTTGGGGACCATATCTGGTTCCCAGCCTCCCTCTCCCTCTTTCTCTGCTTCCCAACCACCAAGGTGGGCAGCACCTCTCTACCACGCCCTCTCTGCCACAACGCTCTGCCTTATCACAGGTCCACAGCAATGGAACCAGCTGACCATGGGCTGAAACCTCTGAAACAGAGAGCCAAAATACCTCTTTCCTCCTTTAAGTTGTTTTTCTCAAGTATTTTGTCACAGCAATGGAAATCTGACTAATACAAGTGAGCTGTACATTTTAAAATGATTGAACAGGTGTGTTTTGTGTGAAGTTAATGTTTCAGCACAATAGAAAGATGAGCAAGAAATGGGCGAGCTGTCTCCTTCATCATGCACCTGCATGAGCTCAGTTTTACAGGTTACACCGTATGGTCTCGATTTCCCTCTTGGGTGAGCAAGCAGTGGTCCAAGTCTTACAAGGGCCAGTCTCCTACAGAGATGCAGGGCAGAATGAGTGGCCACAGGGCTAGCTGGAGTTCTGTTTATGCAAATGTAAACTGAAAATGCGGGGGAACAATTAGCTCTTTGTGTATCCCATAAGAACAACATGGACTACAAAATTTAAGATATTCCAAAATCCTTTTTGCTTCCTTGGAAAGCTTAATTTATTCATTCCAGACTATGAAATTATGTCTCTAGAGAGGGTTCAAGTCCTTGTCTAAAAGGACTCCTAGGAAAGGACAGATTTGCATTTCTATGAGGTTATTAAGGACAGGCTTCATTAAATATTCAAGCATCTGAAATAATAATAATTCATTCGCTGAACAATCTCCTGCTAAATTCCCTTATTTTAAGTTGGAAGCTTGACCAACTTCCTACCGGTTTTCCCTGCAGCACGTGGAGCTCAGAGGAGGAATCCCAGGTATGCCCTGAGACCCCGCCAGCCAGCAGAGCCATGGGGACTCCGGGGATTCGTTGAAGTCACAGTCTGCAGGTCTGGAGGCCCATGCAACCGGATGCAAGGGCCAGCCAGCCAGAGGCTGAGTCAGGTCAGCCTCAGCACCATGAGGAGCTCAGAGGAGGGGCTCAGGCGGGTCTCCAACCGGGAGGCCCCCAGGTTCACCACACCTGTAGAGAAGGGGCCCCTCAGGCCTCGGGCTCCCAGAGAGAGGAGGAGTTGACCGCGCCCACCCCCTTAATCCCACCCATCCCATAACACCCGGGGGGAACAGGGGGCCGGAGGGAGAGTCCAGTGCCTGCCACGGAAAGTCAGGCCAGCAGAGGCCACACCAAGGTTCCCGCGTCCACCAGCTGGAAGAGGGGGCTGAGCCACGCTCCGTGAGCACCGCTGCAGCTGGAGGGTCCCTCTCCAGGCGGATCCTCCCCTCAGTGGCTCTAGGTGCCCAGACGAGGTGGGAAGGCGGGCGGGAAGTGAAGAAGACCCTCCCGCGTCTTCCATCGGGGACAGCGGACCCGTGAGGTCCCCTGCATCAATGTTTGTGGAACAACACGACCTTGCTCAGGGACCATCACTCCACTCCCATTCAGATTCAGGATTATTCACTTCTGCTCCTGGAAAGACTCGACCTCCCGCCCTCACCACGATCAGAGCACAAATGTCACACAATCGAGGGGCATCTGCCTGGCCACCTGGAGTTTAAGGCTGGTCTGCCGTCTCTTCCCTGCAAGAAACCACATACCACCCAACCAGCTGTGTGACCCAGCCAAGGTGTTCAACCTCTCTGAGCCTCAGGTTTGTGTGTGAAAAGGAAACAAAAGAGCAGGAGGTACCCAGTGAGCACCAGATGAGCAGGAGCTGCCAGTCCCCCTCACTGCATCATTGCCGTTATCACCACCTTGACCCTGAATAAAGAGGACCTCTCTAAAGTCGAGCCAGGAAAGACGGGAAGAATGGCTCGCGATATTGAGGGACTTTCCCCCTCTAGAAGGGGAGGTTGTGGTTGTCTGTTTCTGATCACAAAATCCAGTACGAGGTACAGAAAGGTCAACACTGGAGGTGGCTGATGACAAAGGGACTTACAAGGTGCACCTACTGTGTTAAGAAGGAAGGGAAGGGTGGGCGCAGAGGGAGCAGAATCTAAAAGCCAGAAATTGGACGTCCGAGTGGAAAGGAACTGGATGGACACCCAGAGCCAGTCCCCCCCGGGTGGGGGGGCAGAGAAGCAACAGGACCCACACCGCAGGATCCCCGCCTTAGAAACTGCACCATCAGGTGCACCTAGCAGTGCTGGTAAAGGAGAGGGCGGCCAGCTAACCAGGGAGCAGGCCCCCGGAAGTCCCCCCCACCTCCGTCCACAGCCCCTGCCCTCCCTGCCCAGCAGACAGCTGGGGTTTGCTCTTTGGGAGTCTGACCCAGGAGGAGGAGACCAGGCTCGTCTGGTGGCAGAGGCCCCACGCTGGAGACTGGGCTGAGAGGCCTCCATCCCCAGCTCTCTCCCCACTTGGCTCCGCAGGAGCTGGGCAGCCAGGCTCTGCCATGTAGGCAGGAGGCTGCAGTGGCCCTCGTTCAGGAACCCAACTAGCCTGAAGGCACTAGGTCTGAAGGCACTGACCTCGGGGTTCCCCAACAGAATGGCCCAGTCTCATCACACCAGAGTGAAGGTCACAGTCTATGAGCCCCACTTGGAGGCCCAGAGACTCCTGACAGCTTTTTACTACCCCATTCTTAAATATGAGCAGACCACCAAGGAGGACCACAAGCCTGGGAAAACTTCTAATGAACACAGAAGTGAATACCCAGGAATTAAAAAAAGAAAATCATTCTCAGAAAGAGGTAGAACGTTAAATGAGTCTTAAAACAACAACAAAAAAAACATGTTATTTTTTTTAAAAATGGGCTTAAATTTTTTTAAGTTGACAATGGACCTTTATTTTATTTATATGCACTACTGAGAATTGAACCCAGTGCCTCACACATGCTAGGCAAGTGCTCTACCACTAAGCCTCAGCCCCAGCCACAGCCCTCATGGTCTTTTTTAAGGAAGAGAGTATGGAGGGTGGGTGCTCTTAAAGATTTAGAAATTGAAAACACAAGAGAAAAACTCAAAGGTTTGTAAGACCTTTGAATGTCTCACAAGTAAAGCAAAGGACAAAGAGAAGGAAAACAGTGAAAGAGGAAAATGAAGGAAAAGAGATCAGCACCTGGATATTCAGAAGGGGAGGAATCCTTAATACAACTGAAGGAATTTTCCAGAATCCCAAGATGGGTTAGACTGATGTCAAGCACAGGGCAAAACAGAAACATTTTCAGTCTTGCAAAAGTTCAAAGTATTAACTCCTTTCCTAGGAAACTAACAGAAGATGTGTTTCATTATAACAAAGAAGAAATTAGAAAAGAGAAGGCTGAAGAGGGTTGGCAGCATGACCCCAAGGTGGCAGCAGTGCAGAGGCACGGAGAGATGTCCTCAGGGAGATGGGATTAATAGAGGCGATGGTCCTGGTGGGAAGTCTGGCCAGCTGTCAAGAAGTGGACCAAATTTTGGTGGTAAGTAGGGAAAAGTAACCCAAGAGAAACTAAAGGATGATAGTAACTCCAAGAAAAACAGAAAGCTAACGCAGAAATGAAGAAGACCCCAGTTTGCTCTGTGATTCACCTGTGGATAACATTCAGGTGGTCATAATAATAGAAAATGTAAATGCTGATCTAACTATGTCGGGGCATGAGGGGTGCAGGTTGAGAAGACTCAGAGTAAATCTTCACCTTCCACAAAGGAAAGCAAATAGGTCATCCTTTTTTTTTTTTTTAGTTTTTTTCCTTAGTTGTTGATAGATCTTTATTTTATTTATTTATACGTGGTGCTGAGAATCCAGGCAAGTGTGTTACCACTGAGCCACAGCCCCAGCCTGCAAATCGGTAATCTTAAGGTGGAGATCCAACAGCAAGACAAGCGTGTTAGAGACACCAAGGTCAAAACATCAAGCAAAAAGTTAGGAACTATTAACTTGAGGAGTCAACAATACGTGTGTGTGTGTTGGGGGGAGTGGCTCTTTTTTAGCCCAAGCTTTGTAGAAAGAGGCATTTGACTACTTACAGGAGGGTTGATGAAGACAGAAGGGAACATTTTAAATGAACAACCAATGGAAAGTAGGAAAAGGGCCATCACGTCCAACCACCCTGGGACAGCCTGTCGTCTTTAGGAACGTGAAAGGTAGAACAGATCAGAAAGGCGAGCTGAGGTCTGACCACCAGGCCCCGTGGCCAAGAGGGGGGGCAATGGGAAGCCACAGACTCTCAAAAGGGAGCTTCAGGGCGGGGAGCTTGCGGGGGACGAGGGGGACAGTGTGAGCAGAGCCCTGTGGAGCCTCGGCCGTCCCTGCGGATGGGGGAATGTCCCCTCCCCTGCCTAGGTGGTCCCTGCTCACGGCACCTTTGTGTCCCAGCTTTAGGAGGCCCTGGCCCTCCATCCCCCGCTGGTCAGGCACCTCATCCTCCTGCTCCATCCTGCTGAAGTCAGAGCAGTGTGAAGAGCGGTTCCGACCGTGCCAGCCACCTCTGCAGACTCGCCCAGGCAGCTGCCCAGACTATAGCAAGCGGAGGGCCACGTGCAGGCAGTGGAGTCTGGGACGTGGATACGATGGGCGGATGGGCGGTGGCTGTGGTGGGCGTGCTGTCCAGACAGGAGGAAGATCATCAGAACAAGACCAGAAATAATGGGCGAGTGGGGAATGCAGTCGTGTGATTCCGGCTCCTGGAGAACAGGGATGAGGAATCTGTTCAGACAGCAGGAGAAGCACACCCAAGACAGGCCCAACGTCCTTCCATTCTGGATCCACCAAACCGCTCTGCCGGTGCAGGAAGCAGGTGGCTGCGCTGTGCTGCGGGCTCTGCTCTGCCACCCGCCGGCTGTGTGGCCTGGGAGGAGCCTGCGACCACCCTGAGCCTCACCTCCACACCCAAGAGAGGCAGCTGGTCCTCCTCCCTCCCCGTGGAGGGCTGCGGAGGCTCCAGGGGCCTTGAAATATGCAGGGGCTGAAGACAACCTGCCGGCTGAAGGCTGAGCTGCCAAGCCACTGTCGAAGGCAGGAGGACGCTGTGTCAACAGGGAGTCCCCAAGCTTCAGCTTAAGCAAGAAGCAGAAATGGGCCACAGACAGATGACAGAGTTGGAAAGAGAGGAAGGAGGAGAAGAAGAAAGATAGGTCTATTTTCATGGAAAGTCAGAAAACAAGCCACGCAGCTGTGCCGCAGACCTGCTCCGCCGTGGGCTTGGCCTGACACTGAGGTGGGGGGAAAACATGTCCTATGTCCCCATCAAGGTCTTCAACAAACCGGAGCTTGGCCAGGGCCATCTGAGCAGGAGGTTCCATCCAATAGATCTGGCCAACCACCTCCACCGGGGAGTCTCCCAGGCCAGGTAGGCAGGTGACCCTGTCCCCCAGCCCTCCCCAGGGCCTGCGTGGTGTCCACTTTACCTCAGGACGTCCGCGCTCTCTGGGGCAGTCCCCTGCCTCCTGGGGCCTGGCTCCCCACCCACCAGAAAACACTTGGTCTTTCTGAGGACAAAGGAAGTAGTTTTTCAGATGGGCCTAGGATAAAGCCACGAGGAAGTCCCAATCCACTTCAAAGTCGATTGCACCCATACTTTTCCCTCTAAACAATGCATAAAATTAGAAGCCAGGGATGAAAGGATGGGTTAGAAATGGTGGCTTCTGGCCAGGATGGAGCAGCAGTGAACAGATTTACTCTCCACCTTAAACTACCAGGATCTTAGGAAAAGTCTAGACCAGAAAACGGCAGCTCAGGGCCAGGTGGGCTGCACAACTGCCCGCTCTGCTCAGAGGCAGCGGAGGGAGGCGGGAGCCCAGGGGAGCCCAGGGGAGCCCAGCAGCTCCGCAGATTCAGGAAACCAGAGTCAACTCTGGGGGCCGCTGTGTCCACAGTCTGCGGAGCAGAGCCCCACAGGGGAGGGAGCTGCAGCGACAGAAGCCCACTGAGATCTGCTCAGGCAGAGCCACCACAGGCCCGGGAGGAGCCGCCAGGAAGCACAGGCCGGACTTGGCTGGCTCGTGTTGCCTCTCCTCAGAGTGCAGACCTCACACACAGGTGTCACCGGGGCCCATCAACCTGTCAGCTGTTCAGAAAGCCGGCGGCCAGGAGGCCCGCGCTGGTCTGCCCGTCCCTCTCTGTCCCTCCCAAATTCACCCATGGCCCTGGATTCTGGGTGGAGCTTCAGACTGGCAGTGGATTTTCTGAAAGCGGGGACAGACTTGCAGGGGTGAGGGACAAGCTGCGCCTCTGCACCCATGAACCCCAGAGGGGCCCGGCCCAGGGAAGGCACAAAGCAGTGCTCCCAGCAGGAGGAGGAAGAGCCGGGCAGGGCAGGCTGGGAAGGAGAAGCAAAGGAACATGGGAGGAAGGGTGGGGCAGGGGGGACAGAGAGTCCCCGAGAGTCCTCCCAGGAAGGTGACGCCCTCCAGCCCCCAGCTCACTGCTGCACAGCAGGGCAAGAGTGACGGCGGCCAGCGGTTCACCCCAGCCCTGGCCATCACTGGTGGTGGGTGAACCATTCTCCTTCCCTCCCCAGACCCCACTTCCCCTCAGCCACGCGGAGGAGTCCAGACAAGGGGGTGTCAGTCCAGGGCTAAGGGTGGACTGGTGCCTGCAGATTCCAGTCAAGGAGGGGCCCAGTGGTGTTCCCAGCATGCTCTGCTGCCCCAGGTGAACCAGAGACCAGAGGGGCCCTGGAGGCACCCCATTCCCACAGGCTGTCCTCCGCGGGTCTCCTGGGCAGCTGTCAGAGGACCTGGCACCATCTCCACAGCTGCACAGACTCTGAGGACCTCCCTCCCCTGAAATGTGACCATGAGGGTTGATTTTAGTGCCACCTGGCTTGTGCTAAGGGATGCCCGGAGTGTTGTTTCTGGAAGTGTCTGTGAGGGTGTTTCTGGGTGACAGCAGCATTGGAATTGGGGGACTAAGCAAATAAGACCCTCCCCAGTGTGAGCAGGGGCCATCCAGCCTCAGGAGAGCCCAGCGGAATGGAAGGGAGGAGGAAGGGGACCCTGGGCCTTCCCCTGAGCAGGGCCGTGGTTTCCTTGCCCTGGGAGACGTCGGCACCCCCTGGTTCTCGGGCCCTGGACTCACACCGCAGCCCAGGTCCAGGCCTATGGGCAAGACTGAGCTGACCACTGCCTCGGCTTGCCCAGCTCACAGGGGCGGATCGTGGGCTCTCGGCCTCCACACTTGCCTGAGCAGATCCCCGTAATAACCCTCCTGTCGGTGCCTACATGGGTGTCCATCTGGCTGTTCTGTGTCTGCAGAACCCTGACTGTGACAATGACCTGGCAGCCCCTCAGCGAGTGGGGGCCGTTGCTGCCCTCCACGATCACTCTGCAAAGGAATGGGAGCAAAGTCCACCTGCTGAGCAGGGAGGCCCTTTAAGCTGCCGTCAGGGAGCGCCTGAGGTGGGCACCTGCCAGGTGGGAAGGCAGACTGCAAGGACACCTCTCACTGAAAGGTCACCGCTGATGATGCCCCGGGTCACGTGGCCCAAGGCATCATCATGAGCTGCTCCCCCACCGGTCACAGGCACTTCTGCCTGCTCCTCATGACTGCTGATGGTCAACCCCTAGACCCCGGAAAGGAGCCGCTGACCGCGCCCAGAGCAGGTTCTAGGACCCTTCACAGGTCCAGACATTTGCCTTCTGAGACAAGGTACACCTACCTTAAATTTTTTTTTTTTAATTAAAAACAAAACTAGGCGAGGACACGGACAGAAGACAGGCACAAACACAGCTGCTCCACCCGGCCTGGCTGGGGGCACCTGAACACAGTCCTCTGGGGGGCCCCCAACACAGGGCAAAGCGCGGGAGACACGGACACAGGCAGCCCGTGTGGCGTCCACTCCACGCAACCCGACAGGAGCCCTCTCCTCCCGACCCACCAAGAGTGCACCTGCCGCCGGCTTGCTCCGCCTGCCGTGGCCACAGCACCTCGATCCTTCCCTGAGGAGCACTGATCAGAGAGACAATTTTAAGTGTTTCTCATCAGGGTCCCCAAATAGAGAGCAGGAGCAGGACCATCTGAATCAGGCTGCACCCAGAGCTCGGGGACACGGTGCCAGGACATCACTGTCTCCTCAAACACTCAGGGAGCAAATGAGCAGTGCCCGAAGCACTGCTGGAAGGGGGCTGCGCAGGCTGCGGGGAGGGAAGCGCCAGGTGTACAGGGGGACGTCCCGGAGAGGACACCCGAGCACAGAGGCGACGCCTAAGGACAGCAAAGGACAGAGCTCCGCGTCCAGGAAGTGACCCGAGAGGCGACTGCAGGAGCGGGCAGAACGCAGCCTGGAGCAGCGGAGCCTGAGGGTGCGCCGGACACAAGGACCAAACACGGCAATGAGGAGGGGCTGGAGGGAGCAGGGACGTGGGAGCACAGCCCAGGACTCACGGGTAAAAAGGAGATGGGGAGAGAGGACAGGCGCAAGGCCCCAGGACAGAGCCAGGCATATGACAGCGGGACCAGGGCCACGAGGAGCAGAGCGGGAGGTGACGAGATCTCCCGGCAGAGACCCGGGGAAAGAGGCTCAGACAGAAGGCCCAGGGAGCGGGGAGGGCCCAGGGGAGAGGGGCCACATGTGCAGGACGGTGACTTCCAGAGCACGGTGCTCGGGACAGATGGACGGAGCAGCCCAGGAGAACTCCACACACCTGCCAACGGCCAGCGTCACCTGCTGGGTGCAGAGAGACGCAACCAATGAAGCAGACGCACCCACCTTTTCTACCAGGTCCTCAGGAGCCTGTTCCTCAAAGAGGCGAATCTTGTCTTCAATGCACTTCTTCAAAAGGTCTACCTTGCTTTTACTCTTGGACCGCGGCTTCCTTGCCTTGGACTGTGGGTGGAGAGGGGTCAGAGAAAACACTGGCATCAAGATGGTCACCAGCAAGCTCATGCAGCCCCAGGTCGCCCCAAGGCAAGGGAAGACTCTGGCTCACAGAACTGCCAAACTCCACCTCAGGCCAGCGGGGATCACCTGGATCATGCCAGGTGGTGGCCTCGTGACAAAGCATGCCTGGGAGAAGGTTATTTTACATGGGCACTCAGAGAAGGCCTCTTGGTGGAGGTGACATTGAACTGAGGGGTGAAGAGACTACAGAGCATGCTGCAGGCAGGAGCAATGGTAAGTTCAAGATCATGTGCACTCAAGAGGTGTGGCCCCAGAGGTCTACAATAGCAAGATCAAAATCATGGCACTCAAGGAGGTGTGGCCCCAGAGGTCTACAACAGCAAGTTCCAGATCATGTGCAGGATCAGCTGCACCAGACTCATCTGCCCTTGAGACACGCAGGTGGTCATTAAAAGGCAGCTGTCAATCACCATCCCAGTACAAGAGACTCTTCTCCAAGCCCACTGAGCTGAGGTGAGCAACCCTCCTTGGTGCCACTTGCAGAGAGGCCTTTTGTACCCTGAATCAGTCACTGTCCACAACGATGGGAGAAGAGAAGAGAGCCACTTCTCAGGTCAGGTGCCTCCCTTCCACCCAGCACAACATTCAGGAGAAGAGTACAGAAGAGTGTGGCTGCAAACCACGGGCGGCTGCAGGTGGACACTGTACCAGCTGGGTAAGGGCATCTGCATGGCCCCAGAGCTGTCCCCAGACCTTGAGGTCAGGACAACCTGGCTGTTCCAAGAACAGTAAGACCTACCATGGCTGGAAAGGAGAGGACAGAGGAGAGGAATCTGGGTGGGGGACAGAGACACAGGACCCCGCAGGGTCAGATGCTGCGGAGTAGTGGCCAGTCCCTGCAGTTGAGAGGCCGTGATGTCCCGCCTACCTGCAGCTCGGGTGCAGCCAGGGCCTGGTCCAGCTTCAGGACCTCTGCTTCCCGCCAGGAGGTCTGGAATCTCTGCAGCAGGACTCGGGCCCGGATTTTGGGTAGGGCCAAGCTCCTGTCCATCTGGGCGAAGCAGCCGTGGACCTCCTGCCTCATCCTGAGCAGCTCCTCTTCAGACAGTGAGAAGGCCGAGCAGCAGAGCCGCCTGTGGAGGGGACAGTGGCATGTTCCACCAAGAGGAAACGCAGGTGTGGGGTTGGGGCGGGAGCTGGGACTTCACGGCCCATGAACTAAGTCCCTGTGTGGAGGAAACGCATTGCTCCTCCAGGCGTTCAATCCGCAAGCCTTTCCTGGGTGCCTAATGTATGCACTGCTGGGCACAGGGTCACGTGGAGCTGAGCCCTAGAGCTCAAGGAGGCAGCCCAAGAGGAGGAATCGGTCTTCTGGCATTCACGCCCGTGACCACAACCTGGCCCCGCTGGAGAAACAGACAAGAAATGAAGCCCTGTCCACCAACCCCAGGCAACAGCACTGTAAGCAGGGGCAAGTGGCACCCAGGACAGGTCGGGGTCAGGGAAAGGGTCCTAAAGGATGGCAACTGGCAACTGTCATTTATCACAAACCTACTCCACGCCACAGACCATGCCAGGCAGTTTACTGCTATGCACTGAATTGTGTCCCTTGGATGTGAATGGGCCATTTGGAAACAGGGTCTTTGCAAATGAAGACCCACTGGAATGGAGTGGACCCGAACTCTGATATAACTGATGTCCTGGTGGGACAGGTGAGGAGACAATCATGCGGGGCAGGAGCCATGTGACCACAGAGGTGGAGGTGGGAGTGACGTGTCTACAGACCAATGCAGAAGCCCAGAGAAGGGTGAGGAACGGCCTCCCCAGAGCCTCAGTGGAGCACCGCCTCCTGCACCCCGAGTTCACTGTGGCCACAGAACCGGGAGACAATCACGTGCCTCTGGTTTGAAGCCACCTGGTTGTGGTGCCCCCTTAAGGAGCCCTGGGAATCAGAGACCCTGACCTACATCATTGCTGATCCTCGACTTACACGAGAGGAGACTGAGGAACATCCCCGGCTTCCTTCTGGCCAGGCCCACAGCCACTCCCAAGGGAGAGTGGCCACCCGCTCACTTTCCCAGCTTCGCGGGTCCCAGGGTGGACGTCTGGATGGAAGTCCCTCCTCAACTCGGGAGGGAGCAACCAGGAAGGGGCCTGACCTCTCGCTCCTGCTTCCGACAGGGTGTGTCTGTTTATTCATCCAACCAATCTCTGCAGAGCGACCTGAGTTTCTCCTGTCACTCTGGCGCTGTCAACAGGCTGCATGGGAGTGGCTTTTGGGGAACATTTGCAGAATACTTCCCAGGGAGGCCAGGGCAAGCCTCACACACCCGAATCTCTACATCCTGGCTCACCAGGGAAGTTCTCCTGTGGAAGTGCAGGAGGAGTTCAGGATGTCAGGGGCCCTCAGAGGAAGACAGAAGGCCTGAGGGTCACATCACAGGCCGCAGGCGAGGGCCCCGGGGCAGGGCACCCTGTCATGGGGTCCTCACTCCAAGGCCCCCCGCCGCCGTTTCTAGAGCACTTCTAGTGATGCAGCCCGTCCCTGGCCCTCGCCCCATGCACAGCCTCTCCCACTGTCTGCCGGTTACTGTCCAGAACAAAAGCACCCCCACGGGTACCTAGGTCCTATCTCGCACCTTCCAGCAGAATGGCCCCTGTGGCCTGGTCCTGGTCCTCTGCTACAAGGACCAGAGAATATAGAAAGACAGGAGGCAGGTCTTTGCCCTGGCAGTTAAAATCCGATTAGAAACCTAGGAAAGGAGTATCAAAACACACTTTCCCTGGCAAAAAACAGGCATCCTTCTTAATCCCAACTCTGGCTGAAGAGGCTCACAGCAACCCCGTCTTGTGTGCAGATGGGAGGCTCATAAACCGTGTCTCCAAACAACGGTGCCAAGCCATCGTTACACAACGCCATGGAAACTAAGGCCGCAGCCCCTGGGACCTTAAATAAGCCACGCGTATGAGCAGCTCACGCCGCGGTCACTGTGGGTTAACCCTCTTTAATCCTCGGAGAAACCTTGAAGAGTCCCGATAGCCAAGCCACATTTCTCTTTCCCCGCTGGTGGCTAACTCAGTGGCGGTTTTAGTAATGGTCCCTGCAAAATGGACCCAAACGAAATTGAAGAAAATGACCACCAAGTAATGGGAACATCAAGTCTAATTCAAGGGCTGCACAGAGTCCAAAGCCAGCTGGAGGAGCAGAGGCCTGGGCGGCATCAGTGCTGCCAAGGGCCACTCACAGTGCTGCCAAGGGCCCGTAAGGGTCTGATTTGTGTGGCTTGGAGAAGACGGCGTCTCGGCTCCCGTGTCAGGAAAGTAATAACTAATGAAGATCAGGGAATCAATGAAGCCAGGAGCACAAGAGAGAGGTGGGAAGAGCGGAGTCACTCACTGAAAACCAGATGACATCACTCTGCATGAACACCTGGGGACCGACTCCCCACAGCAAGGTCGGTGCTAGGGAGGAGGACTGGGAGGGAAGGGGCATTAAGTCCTTCAGGTCAGCAAGATCCTGCAGATGCTCGGCCACCTGACACCTGTCCAAGGGTCCCCACATAGAGCCAGGCTCTTACATAAACATTCGCTTCACGTGTTAACCCACCTGATAGCATCAAGTGCTATAAATTATTTAATACTGTCATCCCTGTTTTATAGGCAAGAAAGACGAGACCCAGAGAAGTTAAGTAACTTGTCCACACCCACACAGCTGGTGGTGGGTGCTGGAATTTAAAGCCTGGTCTTTTGTTCTACATCACCTGCATCTCTTTCCACACTGGTCATATTTGGGGCTCCGAGGGTTTCCAATGTACACCAAAATCTTTGTGGGTCTAATATGCACGCATGCCTCCCTCCTGGGCTGAGCTAAATCTCAGTCTGCACAAAGAACCAGCAGATGACTGGGGCAAGCAGAAGACTCCCCAACCAGAGCCGGCTCCAGCTGGTCCTGACACTGGGTCTCTCCGTGTGGCTGGAAGACATCGTGCATGGTTCACGCACTGGTTTCCAGTTCCTCGGCAGGAGTGCTGGTCAGCTGTGACCAGCAGTGTGTCCCACTCTGGAGCGGGAGTCCTCGTGGTTCTGGTATCAATAAGAACCAGTGGCCCAATGAGCCAGCTAACGAAGGAGCAGGGGAAATATGGTGCGGCCAGGTGTGAGAACTGCACCCAGGGTCCAATGCCAGTGCTGCCTGAACACTTGGGGGAGACCACAGGGCGGCCATGACCTCACCTAGCCTTCTCTCCACTCTGCAAGGTCCCCTCACCAAACCACACTTCTTATGGAAGGGACGGGGGCAGTCTACTTCTCCCTGAGCAGTGGGCCGGGCCCTGCCAGTCCACGGAACCACCCACACTCCCAAGGCACCCAGGGCCCCCGGTCCCCAGAACCCTCCTCCCCTGGCCCCGCCGTCCACCCCGCGAGCTGTGAGTCTGGGTGGCAGAGCACACTCATCTGCTGGGTCGGTGCCCTGTGCTGGGCCACCCTGGGCGCCGCAGCCTGGGCTCCCGCCTCAGCAGCTGGGTGGGGGGCAGCGGTGGGGGCAGAGGGGGCCTGCAGGGCCACTCACAGGAAGATCAGGCGCTCCCAGCACCTCAGCTCCGCCTGCTCCTCCACCGAGGCCTCCGGGGCGTCCTCCTGCAGCCTCTGCCTCACGCTCCGGACGCCCTCCTGGCCCCGCTCCCTCTCCTCGGCCTCCAGCTGCGCGGCGCGGGCGGCCGACTCCTGGCCGTGCTCCTCCAGGATCCGCTGCAGGAAGAGCCAGGGCACGCTGCGCTTGAGCAGCTCCTGCGTCATCCCCGAGCTCTGCAGGCGCCGCAGCGCCTCGGTGGCCTTCTCCGACAGCGCCAGGGTCAGGGCCCGCAGGTCGTCCAGGGCGGCCTGGTCCAGGCCCTCCTGCAGCTCCTCCAGGGCGCCGCTGTGCTCGGCCACCATGCTCCTCCACTGGCCCAGGTACTGGCCGGCGTCTTCAGCAGCCCGGAGGGCTTCTCCGGTGGACAGCTGCTGTCTCCGCTGCTCCTTGTGCTGGCAGGAGGTGACAAAGGACGATCAAATGGGGGCAGGGTGGTGTTTGCCCTCTGGGAAAACACTTTGGAAATTTGAGGCAGAGGACACGGAAGGTTTAGCGACTCCCCACTCCTCCCTGACAATCTCATATTTGGGGAATTATCCTGCAGAAGATCAAAGGAACGATGTTGGAAACTTCATGTTTGATGTTCACTGAACAAGACTTATTGAGTAGGTAAAGTCAAGAGGCCGGCCGTCTGGGTTTCAATCCTGGCTCCTCCATTACAAGCTGAGTGACCTGAATGAGGATCTTAACCTCTCTGTGCCTCCACATCCTGCTCTGTAAAACGGGGATGTAATGGGGCCTACACACGGTGTGGCTGTGACGATTACGAGTGGCCTGATACGGCGCAGCCTTAGGAAAGCCCCTGGTGCAGATCTCAGAGCAATGAGCACACCCCAGGCCAGGCCGGAACTGCACATGGTGATGTTATAAGGAAAAAGCCAACCCGAGAGCCACGTGAGAGGGCTCCAGGAGGAGTCAGAAGGGCCCTGGGGAGAAGGACGCCAAGCGGACACGAAGGGGGAGGCTTCGCCGTGCTCAGGTTAAGAAGTGGGAAGAAGAGGCCTGGGAGAAAGAACCGAGGGCATGCGGGCCTCGTGGCGGGGAGCCTGACGGGAGTGAGGTGCCCACGGGTGTCCTTATCAGGTGTCTACAGCTGCTCTCGTTCTACTTGACCAGAACATGAGGCGGCCTGCCTTCTGCTCACGGTTCCTGGTGACCAGAGAGGGTCCACTCCTTCCTTCTCCTAAGGAAGGCCCCTGTGTGTCAGGCAGTGTCCTCAGCACAGGGAACACGACAGCAGAGTCTGCTCTGTGACGCTCCATCCTAACCCTGGGTCACTCAGCCCGCAGAGGACCGGGAGGCTCTCTCCTGGGGTCTGCAGTCCTTCTTCTAGTCACTAGCCCTGGCTGGACCAGGCCTTCAGAGCTGGGGCTCGGGCCTGTTGTGGTCCTTTAACCTGCGGCTCAGAGGACAGGCGGCACCCCAATGGCGCACACTGCAGTGATGGAGGCCGGTCCCAGGCTTCGCGCGGGGCCCAGCACTCGGTAATAAGAGGCCTCATCGTCCTCGTCACTCACACCAGCCGCCACTTCCCTCCCCACGCAGACATGGCTAGTCAACCATGGCTCTCTGTTGTGCCACCGTAAAGCGGCACCCCAAAAAGTCACCACCAATCAACTGCAGATGGCACAGGCACTGTGCCCAGGCGCCCTGCCCGACCGAGGGTGGACGGCAGCCGTGACCTGGTGGTGTTGGCAGGGGTTGCCCAAAGAGGAACAGCGCAGCACCTGACGTACCTTCTGAAGCAACTCTCGCCTTCTCTTGGTCACCAACTTTTGGTGGAGCTTTTTCTTTTCCTGCTTTAAGTCGTTTTCCAACTTCTGTTTTATAGAAAAGACTTCCGTCTGAGCCCGCTCCAGGAGCACTTCCATCTGGTCTTCGTCCAGGTACCCCGCCCTGGGGAGAGAGACCAAAGCCCGTGAACCCTGACGTGGCCGGGGCTGAATGTGCGGCTCCTCGTTGGTTTGGTTCAGATCAGAGAAGCCTTTACCCTCCAGAAGGAGCATCGGCGGCTGAGACGAGACTGAAACACCAGCTGACCAGCCCACCGAGGTCAGGGTCAGGTGGACGGGCGGGAAAGCTCAAGGCAGGACAGACTCGGCTGTGAGGGCAGGAATGGCGGGAGTTCCGGGGCAAGCAGCCATCGCAGGGCCAGCGGGGCGGGGAGTTTCCCAAGAGGAGACGGTGGACCAGGAATCCCATGTGTCAGCAAGGACAGTCAGTCCAGGAGACGAAGGCCAACGAGAGTGGCCAGATCACACAGGCTCGCGGGTGCACGGGCTGCGGTCTTTCCAGAGGACGTCAGCCGTGAACAGGTGGACTCAGCCAAGGTCACAGAAATTGAACTGCCACTGTGGCGGGCTAAGCCCTGGGACCCGAATTCAAGAGCTGAGCCGTCCTGAGGGCTTCCCAGGAACAGGCGCCACCACTGAGGACCAGGGGGGCAGTTTGGGCCCTTCCCCTCCGTCCCTCAGTCGCCCCCTCACCACATGACACCTTCTGCCGCGACGTGAGGTGGCCCTCACCACACGCCATGAGCCAGATAAAGCTTCCAGCCCACTGTCTACCTGGCCGTGGCCCTCTGTCCAGCAGCAGAGGGACCTCCGTCGTGTGGTGACATCATCCAGGACGCTGACTCATGAGGAAGAGAAGGCCAGGAGGGAGGAACACGTCCCTTCAGCCTCACACTGTAGAGCACACACCCCACCCTGCTCCAGCCCCTGGCTGGAGCTGACACCTGAAGCTCCGGGGTTCTCCAGCCTCCACCTTGGATTGATTACGCCCCCAACTCTCCTGGGTGTCCAGCTTGCAGAGGGCAGGTGGTGGGACCTCCCTGCTCCATGAGCACCTGAGCCAATTCCTACACCCGGTCTCCCATGGTCTCCAGTGCTTCTGTTACTGTGAGTAACAATCTGTTACTGACTGTGACAATCTGCTCCCAACACCACCTCTACTCCAGTCTGTCTGCACCCCAGGGCTGGTCCCCAGCCAGCACAGGACAGACCCTCAATGGACGCATCCTGAGGCAGTGACCTGGTAAAGGCACGGGCACTACACGTTTCAGAAATCTCGACAACAGTCCTTCAAAATAGAATTTAAAAACCAGAGGCAAGACCTGGATCCCCAGCAGCTGCTCACCAAGGACACCCAGCTGTCGGGCCTTCAACTCAAGGCAAGAAGGCTCCCTTCACTGGAGCGCAGATTAACCAGGCATGTGGAGCCCACTGCAGGGATCATCCATCAGCATCTTGAGGTGGGGGTGTTCACATAATCTGCACCTCACAGAATCGTCTTGCACCAGAGCAGGAAGCTGTGAAGTCCTGGTCAAATGACCCAAGTCACAGAACCCATTGCTAAGCCACAAAGTGTGGTAAGAAAGCCAACCTCACAGTCACGTTCCTGTTCACTTTAGAGCTTCTCATATCCCAAAGAGAGCACACCTCATTGTTCACGAGTAAGCTGCCTGAAAGAAAAGCCGAGCAGGATGCCAGAGAGGGGTGATCCCACGTGGAGACCGCTGCCCACCACCGTTCACCTGACCACGTGGAGCCCAGGTGCTGCTGAGAGAAGCTAGTCAAACCAAGAGAAGCATCTCTGTGCCTTTACACTCCACGCCAAAGACAAATGCTAATGCCAGGGCGCACCAGGGCCCGGGTGGGCAGTTCCCCAACCACCCCGTGGTCAACCTGACCTCCTCCATCTTTTTCTCCAGAAAATGGAGCTGGAGATTTGCTCCACGCTATCCAGGATGGGGGGACATGTAGCTCCACCATGACTGGCAGCAGGATGGTACCTGAGGAAGCAGAAGCATGGGCACGCGGGGGTTCATCACACGACTCATCTGCCACGCGTGCTTTAAAAAACAGTATGACGCACGGGGTTTTTACAACTGAGGGCTGTTTTTAAGAACAAGTAGAGTGACCTTTGCATATTATGAGCAAATGGAAAGAAGGGAGCCACTGGATGGGGCAGGTTGCTTGGGGCTGGGCTAGCCTGGGGGCAGGGCTAGCCTGGGGGCGGGGCTGGGCGAGGCTGGGGCGGGGCTCACCTCTCATGTTTCTGGATGAGCTGGGTCAGCTGCGCAGCTGCGGTGCTCAGAAGGCCTTGCACTCGGGTCTCCATGCACTGCAGGTTCTGAACCAGGTACTCCCTGTGGCCAAACCTTTTACTTAGATGATACCTCTTAGTAGCCTGGAAGAAATCCATCAGCTCTTCCACATTCTCCTGTTTAAAAAAGAAAAAAAGAAAATTTTTTTTTAAGTATGTCTCATTAAACGTTAGGAAAAATTATTGTCAAAATATTAATTTTCCTGTCAGAAGAAAGCACAGGAACAGAAGCAGTGATTGACACCTTTATCTTCCTCGCTTGGGACAAAGTCATATGCCAACCAGAGAGCTATGAGACGTGCACTAGACCTGGCCGCCAAGGGCAGTCAGCGCGGCGGCCCGCGCACCAAGCAGGATGCACATTCATGGCTTGGGCTAAGCATCCTTCCGCCACCACCAGGACCCTGCAAAAGCTCTGGTGAGTCAGCCGCCAGCCCACCCCCAGGGCACCCCACCGATGCAGGCGACACCCTCGGGCAGGCACGGGGCACATGGTGGCAACACAACCCTTCATCCCAGCATGAACAAATCCACACGCAGGAGGGACAATGCCTGGTCCACACTGGGCTCTCCTCAGCCTGGTGCTGGACCAAGAGCTTGCCTGCCTCATCCCTTAATCTAGGCGAAGAGGACATCATCACATTTCCAGTGAGGAAATTGAGTCCACGGCACACGGCCATGGGCACTGAGCAGGATGTGCAGGCCACCCTCTTTGTCCACCCCGCTGTGCTGTCCTAGTGGGGCCACCCCAAGTCCAGCTCCACCAGCAACACTGGAAGGAGACCCACCTAGCTGCACCAGCTGGTCACAGGCCAGCGCCTGTCCCATGGTCTGGTCCTCTTTTCCCCACCTACAGGAATACCATGCACAGCAGGGATTACCAGAGGGTCCCACTGCATTCCAGGGGAGACCTGCGATGCGTGGACCTTCTCCTTTCCACATAAGAGCCGTGACATCTCTGGGCACTAGCACTGTCCACACAGGGAACAGCTGGGTGTCACAGAGGTGGCTTAATACCGCCATTTCCCGGGGGTGCCTGGCAGAATCAGCAGGAAGACCACCACTGGGACATTCCCATTCCTCCTCCTTGGAGCTGGACCTGAGCTTGTAGGGGACCCAGCTGGCCTCCAGACTCCCTGAGGGCTCCAGGCAGAGAGCTCTGTGCCAGTTACCTCCTTAACCATGACATACCCCGGTGACACGTGCTCTTCTTAGTGAGGGCTCTGGCACAGAGGGTCAGCACTGCCCGTCATGGGAGTAAGATGACAAGAAAACCCTTCCTATACGTAAGGTGGTGAGTCTGAGTCCTGCAAGTGGATCCAACAGAGTTCCTTCTGAATCTCACCAAAGGTTTATGAGCCCTTAGATCAAATGCAGAGGCAGTGTCTTCCCTTTCCATTCCGGGGTCTCCTCAGGGTGGCCCTCCCTTCCCCACATGCTCTGGATGGTGACCTGCTGTCTTCCTGGGTGCCCGGGGTCAGCTCAGCCCTACTCACTGTGCCTCTACCAGGACCACACAACGCCCAGGCATGGGCGGGCCGGTCTGTCTGTGGGTGGTCGGGGAACGCCAAGTCCTGTGGCCCCATCGCTGGGACCTGCTCACAGGCACAGGTGTGGCTTCCATGTCCACACCTTGTCCAGTAGCTCTATTTTTCACCACTGCTTTGGCAACAGCCATAACAGAGGCCAACGGCACACCTCCATGTCCCCTCCCTGTGCCCCGGGCCTGCTGAGGTGTCCCACGGCATGTTCCAGTGTGGGCAGAACCTGCACTTCTGCAGCAAGTAGAGAATTTCAAGGGGGGAAATCCAGCCAGCAAGCCGACCTTCTGGGACGATCTTCACTTGGGAATGACTGCTCCATCAGAACCACAGCTTTGCATTCTTCAAACGAACACCGTCATGGACCAAGGCACCGTGACACCATCAGCCCCTGCAGACTTGAGCAGGCCCAACAGTGCCCCAGTCTCCGGCACCATTCAGAGCTGCTGCTGTATACACACAGACTGGCTCATAAACTGGAAGAGGCGGCCTCTCTAAGGCCATGTTTCTCAAATATTCTAGTCCTAGTCAATCCACAAGATTTCGCAAATTAAGATAGGGGTTTGCTCTTAACCACCATCACCACCACCTGGAGCAAGTCGCCAACACCCGGGAAAACCTGGGAGCACAGCGATGAAGGCCGTCCTTGCGCCCCAGTGACTGCGCCCTGCGCATGCGTGTGCCTGCGGAGAGCCTCATGAGGCCTCACGGGCCCGTCCACGGCAAGGCCGGCAGGCTGGGGGAAACGACTGGCCCGCCATCTAAGAATCGGGTCTGGATTAATAATGTCCACACGCATGCTTACACACCAGAAGACATGCACACCCAAGCACAGCCAGACACTGACCCGAAAGCCCGGACTGGCACAGGGACATGAGCGACGCCGACACACCATGTGCACGTCCACTCTGTCACAGCGCTGCCCGTCACACCAGCCAGGCAAAGCACTGACTTCAAGGATCAGCTCGTGACCTCCTCCTCCGCCCTGTGACGTGGGCCTCGGTTATTCCCACCTCACAGGAGAGGACACTGGGCCGGGGGCAGCCGGCTCAAGCTCACTCAGCTGATGGGGGTGGCACTGGAATCCGGTCTAGGTCAACCCGGTCCACGGCCTGCGCCCCAAGCCACCATCCCCCTGCACACGGGACAATCGCCCCCGAAGCAGGGGCTGAGAAGAGGATGGGGTCACAGGACAGAGCACGAACCAGAGGTGGGGCACGACGCCTCGGTCACAGGGAGCTGAGCGGAGGCCTTACCTGCAGTTTAGAATAATCTTGAAGCAGCATTTTAGCGGCCTCTGGCTTCAGGTCCCCTTTCAAAATAGCACTTTTTATCTGGGCAAAAAAGATACCGTGCAACTCGTTTCTCTGGAAAATGGCCAGCTGCCTGTGAGCCTGTGCGAAGTCCTCCCCCTGGTGCAAAGCCAGGGCGCTCCTCAGGTGCTCCTCCTCCAGGCCGTGGAGGGTCCGCAGCAGGCCCCGGCACTCGGCAGCAGACTGCAGAGAGAAGGGGCAGCAGTGAGCCTGGCGCTCCAAGCACAACTGGCCCACGTGGACACACGGTCACGCACGTGGACACATACACACACACATGCACATTTAATACACAAGGTGCACTCAGCAGTGCTGTGTGTGCATGCCATGAGTGTGCACACGGTGCTCAGAAGTACACACACATACATGTTCCCAACCACAGATGCAATCTGCCCACGTGCCTTGTGTGTGACAGTCACACAGTACACACACCCAGAGGTGCACACAGGCACAAACCAGAACACACATGGAACTCACGTGTGTGCACGGGCAGGCACACACGCCCTGACCCAAGCTGCCATGATGGGGCTGGGAGATGCCCTTCCAACCTGTCCCCACCCTGTTATCTGAACAATTTTCCAGAACAGTCACAAAGCAGAAAACTCACAGGGTGGAAATCTGCACATCAAACTGCTTGAACAGAGCCTGTGAACACGGAGACCTGGGAGTCTCAAGGGCCGCACAGCTCGGCTCACGAGATCATCGCCTCATCTTTCCTTCTCAGCTTAACTGAAGAGAGAAATGCCAGCGACCAGACCTCAGCTGGAATCCTTCAGGTGAAGGAGGCAGAGGAGGTACCAAGAAGTGGCTGCTGGCCCACCTGCATGTTGGGGGTCCCATGTGAGGAAAGGTGGAAACGCACCTCTGCTGAGCCCTAACGCAGCTGTTCCCCAGCATCTCAACAAGACTTGAGCCCGAGGAGGGAGCTGCCCTAACTCCACATGCGTGGTCAGGATCCTAACAGGACCCCAGGACCGCCCCCCCTTCTGTAAATGTCATATAAACTCCCATCCCTTGAATGAGAGTATAAATTTGAACATGATGGGATGGTCACTCTTGTGATGAGGTTACATGACATGGCAAAGATGAAGGTGGCCTGACAATACAATTAGGTCCCTAGACAGTTGACTTTGGGTTAATCAGGGGAAACCATCCTGGGTGGGCCTGACTTCATCAGGTGAGGTCCATGAAAGAGGGACTGGCCCCCCCCCCCGAAGAGAGAGACCCTCTCCCACTAGCCTGGGAGAAGCCAACAGCTGTGCTATGAACTCTCCATGGCAAAAGGAAGCTTCCAGAAGCAAGGAAGTGAATCTGCCAACAGCATGAATGAGCACAGACCAGGACCCTGAGTTCCACAAGAGACTGGAGCCCAGCAGAGGGGTCAGCGGAGCCATACCAGGCTCCTGGGCACAGAGACCCCGAGGTCCCAGGGAGCGCTGCTGAGGTTGCTCAGGGCGTGTTCTGTTGCAGCCATGGAAAACAAACAGCCTGCACCCCACAGAGGACCAGGAGCGCAGAGAAGCTCAGGGCCCCTCCCACAGCCCTCCCTGCTCAGGAGGACGCTGGGCTCCAGGCTCGACTTCTCAGCCACACGTGGGGAGCGAAGGCAGGGACAGGTGCACGTGTGTGCGTGAGGCAGGTGTGGGGCCTGGTCGCGGGGAGGAGCTGTGCCCTGGCCAGCAGAGGCCGGGAAGGCAGGAGGGGCTGTGCAGCAGAGGCCAGGGCTGGGCTCCTCTAGGTGGAGTGAGGCCTGGAAGCTCCCGGGGCCTCAGGTTCTCTGTCCCAGGAACACGGCCCCCTGGCGGCAGACCGGTCACCTCTGTGTCCACTCACTCACCAGGCCTCGTACCTGGCTCGGTCTCTCCAGCCCCTTTCACTGATCTTCAGCTGGTTCAGGATCCAGGAGGAAGGGAAGCATTTACCCAGGGCCCCTCAGAGAAGCCCAGCAGTCAGCGCGCGGCAGCCCTGGGGCCGGTGAGACCAGAGCAAAGGCTCGAGGAGACCAGAGGGCAGCCCACCTCCTGCTGCCCCCAAATCCGGCATCCATCCCGACAGGAGCGCTTTGCTTCAGCCACCAAATCACAGCTCCACCTTTCTAAAAAGCAGGCTTTATAGAAAGGACTGGACTCATCCGAGTCCTTCTATTGCAGAGCAATGGCATTTACAGGCGACTGGATCTAAATCAAAGGATGCAATTCACCAACAGCGGAGAGAGGGTCAGGGCCCGACTCCGGGCATTCTGCTAGGGCGAGTAGCTGGGGCAGGTTCAGGAGGAGGGGGCTGCGGACGCCAGTCTCCGACTTCTCAGCCACACGGGTGGGGGACAGAACTGAATTTTACAAGCCCCAAACTTCAATTTACTTTAATTAACAGGAATGAAGTATGCAGTAAAACCCACTTGGTTTCTCGCAGCTGGGGCAAGAAGCAGACAGACAGACACACAGACACACACAAACACACACACATCTTAGAACACAAATTTCCGTCCTGTTTAGCATCATATTTCTGCACCCTCATGCCATAGTGAACATTCCTTGACAAAAACATGGACAGAACCCCACACCTACCTCCACAGGCACCGCCCCTCTATTGGGAGTTCAAGGCCTTGTGGAAATGTGTCCCACAACTAACGAAGCTCAACATCCTGCAGCAAAGATGAGAAGACTCGGCCATGAAGCAAGATGCCCACCCCCAGGCCAGTCAAGCAGGGGGTTGTATATGCAAATGGGTGAGGAAACCTGTCCTGGAAGGCACTAGGGAGTGGTGGGGAGTGGGGCAAAACAGAAAGGGCGAGTCCTCCTGCAGGAGCAGGGACAGCCAGCTCACCAAGGGGCTCTGTGAACATCAGGACCAATGTGGTCAGATTTTCTCATTCTTTAAGAGAAGCTGAAAATCTGTATTTTTAATGTACAGTTTTATATTTTAAATATTGTCCACAGATGTGCATTTTTAAAGGAGCATTAAAGTAGTGGTCATTTACCCTAATCTCCCTGTTGAACTTTCTAATTAAAAAATGGACTTTTCATGGAGAGGAGGCATGGTCAGGAGAGGCCACTTCAGTTCTGATTTGAGAAACAGCCGTGCAGTGGGCTGTCCCAGAGCAACCGCCTCGTACAATGTCGAGTTTATACCAAGAAAAAATGTAGAATCGTCCTCAGGAAATCATGACTGCCAAATCACGCTCCTTGTACTCAATTTAGCAAGACAGGCAAACTGTAAAATTGTTTCATAAAAATAAATCCACCCGAGATGGTTAAGATGTACGCGTTCTTGCACATGAGGAGTCTTTCCTCCGAGATCTTCCCGGGGGCTGAGGAGGCCTCGGGGAGCCAGCGCAGGACGCAGGCCCGACTCCTGTCCTCGGATGGCTGGGCACGCCTGGGTGCAGGAGAGACCGGAGGAGACGCAGCCCCCGCTGCCCGCGTGGCTGCAGGAGGCCGGGCTGTGAGGCGCTGCCTCTCTGGGCCTCGGTTTCCCCCCTCCTTGTGCAGACAGTTCCCACTCTGCTCCCTTCTGGGGCTTCCGGGAAGATGACATTGAGCCATGAGCCACAATGCACATCCCCACGGGGGTGCTGTGCCAAGCACTGGGGCCCTCTTTCTTCCCTTTTCTGACATTTAAATTGATTTAACTGACTCAGAACATGGCCCTTACGCATGGTACTGGGGACCACGTGACATCGGGACACACACACACACACACACACAGTGATGTGAACGCACATTGAACACGGTTTCTCTATCTGAAGACAGGCAGATGCTGCTTCCAGCTTGGGAGTCACACAGGACCTCGTGGTCACCTACAGCCACCTGTGGGCAGCAGCACCTGGCTCTGCTCCCAGGCCACTCAGCCCCATGGCCCGCCTCTTCCCATCCGCCCTGAAGCTCTTTGCAAGTGTTGACTGACGTCTCGGGACGCGGCAGGCGTCCTTATCATGCCATGTCCGGGAGGGGAAGGAGACGGGGGACCTGCCCCTGGGTGCTCTGTGGAGCCGTGCTTTGAAGCCATAAGGAATTGCACAGGCTTGGGAAGGTGAGCAGGTCTTCCTCTGTCCTCACTAGAGTTCCCGACTTTAAAAAACTGACACCGTCCACTTTGCTCCCCTCCCCCCCTTAAACCATCCTGGGTGGAATGATGAACCCAATACTCTCCTTTGTTTCATCTTCAGATGCCTGCAGGACACGCAGCTTGCTATAGGGAGCCTTGGTTCCTGGGCGGGGAGCCCTGCAAGCACCAGGAGAACGCGCTCTAGGCCCTTTCGCAGCAGCACAGACGGTGTTTCTGGAAGCCCACAGAACAGGGGACCTGCGAGATTCAGGGTGTCCTCCCCGGCGTGCCAGCAGGTGGGGCGAGGGCGCGGGAGGCTGCTGCCCAGCCCTGCAGATGGGAGCTTCAGGCAGCCCGGGGAGGGCCAGTGGGCCTGAGGCAGAGGCCAGCCCAGCAGCCCAGCAGCCGCCTTCCCACCCCCACATGCAGACGCAGCAGCCCAGGCAGCCACTAGCCAAGCCCTGGAAAGCCAGGGACGCCCAAGAGGGCGGGTGCCCGTGGCCGGCACAGCAGGGGAGCCGCGTGCCACGGCAGCAATGTGGCGTCCTGGCTGGCAGCACGCTGCGTGAGTCATGGGGCCGCCTGCAGGTCCTCGGGTGGTGTCTCCACGTCCCACTTCCTCCCTGCCAGAGCGGGACCCTCCCACTCCTAGCCCATGAGCCAGTGAGCTGGGGTAACGGGGGACGCGGGGCCCTCTAGCAGCGCCAGCCCCTCGACCACAAGCGTGAGCTTCGATTTGCAGCCTATTTAACAGCACTTAATAAATTAACATTTGGTTTATGTGGTGAGATGAAGCGAAAGCAAGCACAACGTGCAACCAGATGAACTGCATACCCCCACCCACCCACACAGCCAAAGGCGAACACACGGGCATGTGGGGCAGGACGGGCTGAGCTGGCACAGTGCCCGGGGGGAGCCCAGTCAGTGGCCTCCACGAATGCATACAGCAGGAGCTCAGTCAGCGGCCCAGGCACTGGCCGAGCCGTGGTGTGGGTTTCACCTTTTCCCCCAAGTCCTTTCTTTTGGGCTTTAAGGTGAAATGGGCAAAGCGCCATAAAGGGCCACATCAGCATCTCAGATTTCACAGCCACACCAGCCTGGGGCGCTTGGCCATTTGTTTTCTCTATGACTCTTTTAAATGCAGACTGACCCCTTCTGAGCTCCCTCATTCTGGGCCCATCCTGGCCCAAGCAGAGTCAGGCAGGCGGGCGGTCAGGCCTGCTTGCCAGCTGGTGCCCTGAAGCACTCTTCAAGCCCCTCCTGGAGCAGGTGTGATTCTCACAGAAAAATAGCCAAACACATTAGCAGAGAGGGAGGGGCAACGAGAGAGTTCAGGGGCCCAAATCCCAGAACAGCACACTCAAGGCATTCTTTCTAAGTGCCAGGGCCCAGGGGGACATGGTGCTGACCAGCGAGGTCATGGACAGAGCAGGGTCTGCAGGCAGGCTAGAGGTGGCTGAATGACATCACACCCATCTGTGAACCATGCTCTCTTCAGATGAAGCCCTCTACCTCTCCATGACCTCCCACGGCACCAGAAACGTATCTTTATGATAACATGGCAGAATGGTGTCTTATCTTTTCATATGTGAGGATTCCTCATTACCCTATGAACTTAATGCAAGAACCATGTCTCACTTTTCTTTGTAACATCAGTGCCTAGCCTTGTGCCTGAGAGACAGTAAGTGGTCAATAAATGCTTCCAAATGAATTCTAGATGAGTGGATGGACCATGGGTGGATGGGCAGATGGATGGATGGATGGATGGATGGATGGGTCAGTAGATGTTTAGATAGGTAGGTGGATGGGCAGGTGGATGGATAGAAGTGTGGGTGGATAGATGGGTACATAGGTAGGTGAGTGGATGGATAGATGGATGGATGGATGGATGGATGCAGTCATGGTTGGAAGCTGGGTGATACGTGGATGGGTGAATTGGTGGATGGAGGCATGGATGGATGGGGTAGATGGATGGTGGATGGGGAGGGATGGACAGATGGGTGTACTGATGGGTGTATTAGTGGGTGGACGGAGGGTGGATGGACACGTGAGTGGGCTGGTGGGGGACGGGCAGGTATGAAGGCGGAGGAGCAGTGAGGCGCAGACCTCCGGGACCCGGCTTACCCGCTCGCTCACACGCTTCAGCAACTCCTCTACTTCCTCCGTCGCCAACATCTCCCTCTGATACTGGTTTTCTGTCTTCTTTTTAGTTTCCAGGTCACACTCAGCTGTCAAGGCCAACATCTTCCGGTCATACTCCTCTTGTACTTCCTTTTCCAGGAGTAGAAACTGCTTTCTGAAAACAAGAGCCATCCTTCTCTCCGCCTGGGGGGAAAGGTGGCCGCCACTGGTCAGACTCCTCAGCAGAAGGGCAATGATGTCCTTGCTGATTTGGGTGCGACAGGCCTCCAGATCTGCATCTGCCTGGTTCAGGGTTGCGATCTCCAGCCTGGGAGGCACAGAAGTCAAGAGAGCCCGTCACACCAACCACAGCAGCAGCCACGGCCCACAGGGCGCCGAGGCTTGACTCCTGGTGGCCACGGCCTCTCTTCCTTCTCCCTTTTCCCTCCCCCTTGGCTCTGCTCCGTCCAGCTCCTGAGGGCTGGTCATGGAGTGAGCAGACCCTATTGAGCAGATTTGTCAGGTGCCATGCTAGGAACAATTGGGATGGGAGCCATCTCAACAGGGTCTCTGCCAGCAAGGAGGAGACCAAGGGGAGGAGGCACAGCTGACGTACTGAATGTATTTTATTTTACTTTTTTCACAATTAAAAATTAACTTATGGACAACTAAATGGAATGCTATATCCTGGAAGGGATCCTGGAGCAGAAGAAGAGCATCAGATTAAAAATTAAGGAAATCTGAACAAAGCATGGGCTTTAGTTAACAGCAGATCAATATTTGGTTCACTAACCGTAACAATGTACATAAATGAATAGATGTAATAACTGTAAGAAATATAAGACGTTACTAACAGGGGAACCTAGGTGCAGGACATACATCTCAATTTTCCTGTAAATCTAAAACTACAGTCTACTTGAGAGGTACCGACGAGGAACTTCCCTAGGCCACGAACGGTGAGCTCTGTGGGGGGCGGATTACGCCTCGTGGCAGCTGGAAGAAGATCCACGGGAAAGTCGACTCATACTCATGATTTAAAAATCTGGAAAACAGCCAGGCACAGTGGCGCACACCTGTGATCCCAGTGTCTTGGGACGTCGAGGCAGGAGGATGGCAAGTTTGAGGGCCTAACAACTTGTACCTTAGCAAGACGCTGTCTCAAAATTTAAAAATAAAAAGGACTGGGGATGTAGCTCAATGGTAAAGCATCTCTGGGTTCCATCCCCAATGCACAAAAGAAAATCTGGAAAATAAGGACGAACAGAAAAAGACTTTATTCAGTGTGCGTCCACCATGCAATCAGAATCACTGATGGCATTTTGCTACATTTTCTTCCAATTTTTCTTCCTCTGAATATCTTTTCTACAAATGTAGACTATTTACAATTTTATCCACTTTTTTCCAGTTAACATTGTAACCCACACCTTCCTGTGGTTTCTAAAAATTGCAATCTTCCTTGATAATGGAATAAGAACATTTCACCCTGTGATGGATGCCATTCAACGAGCCTCTCTCTACTGTACATTCAGGTTTCTTGCAAATTGCAAAATCTAAAATAACCCTGAAACAGACAACTTTGTACAGAGCTTTTGATATGCACAGCGACAGCCTTGGTACAGATTCCTACAGAAAGAATCTTAAGGTCAAATGAAGCAGTGTCTCCAAGTCCCTCGGAACATGTCCCAAACTGCTCCCCAGATAGCTCCTGACAACACATTGGGGTCCTTCCCACATCCCAGCCAATGCAATGTTAGAAATCTTTCACAATTTGATAAGAGAAGATGGCATGTAGTTGTAAAAAACACAAGGTTTTGAAGACAGCTATTAGAAAAATTTCCAAGCACCTAGAAGTGGGGGGAACAGGACGATTCCCACGTTACCCAAATTCCAACACTGCCCATGTGCACCGACTTGTTTCATCTACTCCCTGCACTGAGCATTTTAAAGCAAATCTCAGATTTGTCATTTCACCTGTTAACACCCCAGCACGCTCCTGTAACCGTCAGGGAGGGAGACAGACACAGAGAGACCCTGGAAATAGATGAGCTTGTGTCGGCTCACTGATCTGTCGAGTCTACCTCCCTGGCTACTGGCAGAAGACGCCACCCAAAACACCCTGCTCTGTTGTATTATTTAGTCAAAAGCACTTTAGAAACATAAAATTCAATAAATGACAGTGGGTAGAGGAGCCCTCTGACCTTGCCACACCTTAAAAGCAGGTAAGATTTGCACCTGGGAGACGCCCTTCCTGGACCTGAGGAGAAAGGTCACCCCATCCAGGATGGACACCAAGATGAGCGTTCTGACAAATAGGCCTTGCTGATGGTGAGCTGCTTCCCCCTCAGCCACCCCACCCTGCCCGGCTGCTTTTCCTCAACGTGCCACTCGTCATCCAGGGTGATGCGATTGGCTCTGCTTCTTTGTCTCCTTCCCTGGGGGGACCCTCACGTCACATAAAACTTCTCCAAACGGTTTGCCTTCCCGTGACTCTCTCAGGTCAACTCTCCCCCTCCCATATCACACTGTCATATTGAAAATATCGAAAATAATTCTAATAATTAGAATCATGCCACGTCAACAGCCCGTGCGCCTGAGCTGCAGTCACCTGGAAACCACACAGGGCAAGACCATCAAACATTCCCGGACAATGGAGGTGTGGGAGAATGATGTCACTGGTACATTCCTCTGATGGGCGGCCTTGTCAATGAAACAATGCCTGATGAGGGCCCACTCTGAGCTTCCCTGAGCAAGGTGACACTTGGAACTGGGCCTGTCCCTTGTGGGAACCACAGAAGCTGTGCCTGAGGAGTTTCACGAGCACCTGGGGGGCAGGACGCTCCTAAGCCAGAAAACCTTTCACACCTGCCAAACAGTGCCACCTGCCCAGGGAACACCTTCTGGACAGCTGTTGCAGCTGCGGCCTGACCTGTGGACACCCATGGAGAAGAATGCCTAACGCCATCGCAGGAGCTGTGTCCGGCCCCCAAGCCTGAGGAGTGAGTGGGCCAAGTGCGGCCCATGGACTCTGCCTCCGCGTGTCTGGGAAACTGGGTGTCCATAGGTGGCGGGGTCCAGTCCCCTGAAGTCACTGTTATTCTGTTTTGTTTTGAGGAGCTACGAGGAGTGATCAGTCCAGAGCCCAAGTGTATGAAGCCCACTCCAAGTTCTAAGGACACAGACTAATTAGCACAAAGAATGAAGGGTCAGAGTTCCAAGACAGAGAAGAGCACTTTCCTGGCTGCTTCGAGGGGTGAAACCAAGAAGCAGATAAGCAGCTTCTCGGCAAGGTGGGTGAACAACAGAAAAGGGTGGGGGTCTCTACTGGGATGTGATATTGGGCATTCAAAGCAGATCAGGGACTCGGGAGGCTGGATATGATAAAATAAGGAAGAAATCCCGAGAGCCACAGCCACTGCCACAGCCAGAGCCACCAGCCAGAGCGGTCCCTCCAGGAGCCAAGTGGAGGGACAAGGCCTGAGGTGTGTCTGGCTGCAAGAGTTCAGGGATCAAAGACACTGCCCGACTGAACCGAAAGGAGCACTGCACAATGCCTTGCACAGGAAAGAAGCGGAATCTCTCCCCACACAGGGCAGAGGAAGGAACCATTCTGCAGCCGCGATGCGGGGAGCCAGAGACTGGGGGAGCTGACTCCTGGCAAACCCGGGTCTGGCCCAAATACAGGCCTGCAAACCCACACTGCACAACACAGAGTGTGCCAGGGAAAGCCAAATGTGGAGAGAGGTGTACACAGGGGACTCTGCTCGTGGAAACCCACTGGAACCTCCCCCCCCCCCCCCCACACCCCAATCCAGCCACTGGCAGGACTGGCTGGGAGAACCATGGCTGGCCAGGGATTCAAAAGGGCAGGGGGGGAGAGACTCAGTTTTGAGACTGAACCTGAGACCAGGAAACATGGGGTTCTTGGGTATCACAAGGGACTAAGTATTGCTCTTCCACCACACGACTGGACCCATGGGAGACCAGGGGTGCAGCCTTCCAGTGTGGACCAGCTACTGCTGGGCTCTGGAGGTGCACTGATTTAGAATCTCCAGACCAACTGGCATCGAGTGCAAAGCCTGGAGCCTACCTGTGGGATCACCTCTCACTCCAGCAACCCCACCTTGAGGGTGGGGAAGCACCACACTCCACTTAACTGCTGAGAAGGGAGGCTGAGAATCCTTTGAACTCCAACAGAAACAATTCTTTAACATTTCATCAAGTTATTTTTGTTTTTTCCCCTGTTTAATTGTGACCTAATGGTTCATGGACATTTACACATGTGCACATTTGCTGTTTTTTCACTTCTAGCATTTCTGAAGCCAGTTGTTCTTCACAGATGAGTAGGTTGAGAACTAGGACACTTGATTGGTATATTTTAGTCTTCTTTTTTATTCATTTTCTTTTATGGTCACTTTTAATTTTTAAAACTTTTACTTTATATATATATTTTTCTCTCACTTGTCTGTTTCCCTTGGTTCTTTTTCTCTTTTCCTCTTCTAACAGCCAATCTCTATTATTCTCTCTTTCACTCTTCCTTTAATTTTGTACTTCTATCGTCTCTCTTCCTCCCTCATAATCAATCATAAACACACCTGTTCTCTCCCTCTCCACCATTAAAAACTGTAAACCCTTTTGCAAACTGGCGATTTTTATCATAGGCGATATCTGGTCACATCATTTCTGCTTATTGTGACAATTGTAGGCATCATGGCAGGAACTATTTGATTTAGTGCTCTAATTGTCTGCACTGCTTGTAGTTATGACTTGTCTCTGCCAAATCAGTGAGGTAACAGAAACCTTCAAGGACACCGTAAGTCCAGAGGGTAGAATCTACTGCCTCAGATCCATACTGTCACATAGGTAGACACACAAACAACATGAAAAAGCAAGGGAACAAATCTCCACAAACAAACCAAGATACTCCAATAACAGAATTCATCAATATCACAGTGGAAGAAATGGCAGAGAAGGGGTTTAGAATGTACATGGTTAAAACTGGTCTGTGAGGTACAGGATGATGTAAGGAGTGTAATCAGAAAGAAAACAGAAGTGAAAGATCCCTTCAATAATAGAGATTCTGGGGGAAAAGAAAAGAAAAGGAAAAAAAGCAGAAATTCTCAAAATAAAGGAATCAATAAACCAAGTTAAAAATTCAAGTGAAAGCATCTCTAATAGACTAGATCACTTGGAAGACAGGCAATAAGGACAAAATATATAATCTTAAAAACAAAGTTGACCATTGAGAAAAGATGTTAGGAGACCATAAACAGAACTTCCAAGAAATATGGGATAACCTGAAAAGACCAAATTTAAGATCTTTTGGGATAG